ATGCAGCGGAGTCAGCAGCAGAGCCAAAGTGCTGGAAATGAATCAGAGAGAACATTTCAGACTTAAAATCAGATTTATTTAGAGGAAAAATGACTTTACAAGAGGTTGATAACTAAAAAGGAAGATAAATAAAAGCTTGTTACAAAACCTAATGGTTTCTGGCAAGTTACAGAAAAAAAACTGAAGAATTKTACAGTCAATAACCTGCTCACTTTTTACATAATTACAAATTAACATACAGCAATTAGGTTTTACCCTTTTTTTAAAAAAATCTTTTTTCAATTTTTAATTTTTTTAAACTTTTTTTTTTTAATGGGTTCAACATGAAAATGCAAAGCATTTCTTTCTCTCTTTTTTTTCCTTTTTTTTTTTTCCCTAAGAAACAACCCAAAAGCAGAGGCATATTCAGTTATTACAATACACCTCCTCAATGTTTGGGGCATTACTCAAGTGCATTCCATCCTAGTACAAAATAAACACCAGGCTAAACGTTAACCATAGGCGAACTGAACTGGACGTCGATTTTTTTTTTTTTTTTTCTGAGTCAGTGTTTAATATCGATAAGGAAAATAGCAAAATACTTAAGAGCGTGGCAACGATCGATACCTATAGACAGTTTAAATACATACGAAGCTCATAGCTGTATGCAAAGCGGTGAACGTCCTCCTGGTCCCCCCACCCCCCAGGCGATGGAAGCAGAGTACATTTGGGCGAAGCATCGGTGAGAGCTGGGTGGGAAGGAAGGGCAGGGCGCCGGCGTCGCGCTCCCCCGACCCACGAGCCCAAGGTGCAGGAGAGGAGCCCAGTTCAGCTYGCCTATCCTTAATGCTTAGCTGTGCTGTCGGATCAAGAACATCGACCGCTGCCCCTTCTGACGAGCGGGGCGAGAGGGGAGGCTGATTCCAAAGGGTGCCTTAAATTACGCAAAATTCCCAAACCTGGCCAGCAGGCAGAAAAACTTTCCAGGGTTCTGGTTCTCAAGGAATGTTTGGTTGGATTCTCTCAGGTTTTCTCCCATGCCCCCTGCCCAGCCCAGTCCATGCCACGGGTGTCCCAGCAGCTTCCCTGCGACTTTGGCACCTGAGGAACCTCTCCGAGGCGGTGGCGTTTGCAAGGGCTGGGTTTGGGTGGTGGTGCAGCAGCTTTATGGTGTTCTCGTGCTGCGAGGAAGCTGCTGAGACTGCCAGGCTCTGTGGACACTCACACCTGGGAAACGTGGGACAGACCTGCTGAAGCTCAGGGCATCCCTGTGCTCCTCTGTGGTGGTCAAGCTTCCAGAAGGGGGGAAAAAAACCAAGCCACCTGCCTGGGAGGTCTCTGAACAGCTGTACAGCAGTAACTTGGAGCATGGGAAGAGTCTCACTGCACTGCGCTTGGCTGCATCCCCCGTCTCCTTGCTCTGAGTTCCCCCAAGGCAGGAGGAGCTGGAGCTCCCTATGGGAGCTGCCTATGGGGCTGCCCTATGGGCAGTGCGTCCTTGGGCTGTCCCGGCAGGATGCCCCAGCACATGGAGGGACCAAGCGATGGGCAAGCGCCCCGCGGGGAGGCCGGGGTGGCTCCCACTGTCTGTGGTGGGACTGTCCTCATGCTCACACCCACGCTGGTCCAAAGCTTGTCCCTTGCTCCCCTTCTCCCCCGGGCCGTGCAGAGCCAAACCAAAGGCAGCTTTCCAAAGGCATATCCCTGCCTTCAGCCGAGATGCAGAGCGGGAAGCAACTGGAAATCTGATCGCCTCCACGTAAGCAGAGCGCAAAGGGACGAGAGCAACTCCAATTAAAGTGCTTTATAGCATCAAACTGACAGCAAGTCACACGTTGAGATGATCGCTTCATTGGAAAGAGCCCAGGACCAAGCCCTCGCCCAATTCCTTCGTGTCTCAGACTGCTGCTCTCTGCTCCCTGGGGTATCCTGACACCCTCCGCTACTAGTGGTCGCTCTGCTTCTTCATCTGAGACCACGTCCTCATTGTGCTGCTCACTGGACCCCTTTCTGGTGGGTGGTCATGAGGACTGGGCAAAGCAAAAGCCCGTGGGAAGAAAGTCTGATTTTCCCCTCTATGAAACAGTAGCACAATAAGCTTTTAGGGCCTGTGCGTGGTCCTCTTCTCCCTTGAAAATGGGCTTTTCACAGACATTTTTAAACCCACCTGTTCTGTGCACCAGGAACCCAGGGCAGAAAGGGGTGATTTCAGTACTCGGAATGGATCAGGGGGCTGGCCGTGGCAACCAGACCAGGCCTCAGGCTGCGCTGAGGAGTATCATGTTTTCCAAGGAATAACATGTTTTCCAGAACTGCAAACGGGTGCCAGGAGACTGGGGCTGTTCTCTAGCAGACAACCCTAGGCAATGTGCAGGCATCAGAGTGGAACTCCAACTCCAGGAACCAAAGCCAAGAGTATCCAAAGAAATCTGGAGAGAAAAAAAAGGGCTAGAAAAATAAAAACAAGCCTGTACCTTCCTAAAGGTGAAAGGAGAAGGAAGCAGTGTGGGAGTCTCATTCAAATGAGAGCACTTCATTCAAACACAAAGTGAATCATACAGGACTGTACATCCCCCAGGGATGGCGGATGTCTGCCCACCAGAATTTAAGGCAAAACCAGCTTTGATATGCAATATTTCTGCTTGGTATATTTTTGATTCAAACAGTGACAACCATGGAAGATCTTTTAGCAAAAGCAATTTTTGCTTAAGGCACTGAATGCTCTTTTTTATTTACAYGGGTCAGAAGAGATACTTCAGCCTGTCAAAAACTCAGTCCCACTGCTCAGGATCATGTCTCCCTTTTGATGCTCTTCTCAGAGCCACGGGACATTCCCCAGTTTCACAATTTGAAGCTGTACTGGGGAAAAGACAGCAGGATGAAAAGAAAAGCTCACACTGGCAAAGGCTGTTACAGACTCAGAGGAACTTTCCAAAATATCAGGGAACTAATCTCTGTTTATACAACAGTAAATGAGCCATGCACTGGTTTGGAAACCAAAACTTACAGCTTGGTACGTTACTTTTTGCAGATGGACAAATAACAGGGCAGAAGCTATTTYGTTCTATCAGTGTTACTTTGTTATATCAGTGTTTTCTTATTAAAAAGATAACACCACAGCATCAGCACACGCCTCCTTCAGCTCCTTTCACGTTCAGGAGAAGACCTGCCTGGAGCACCGATCAGACCCTCGCCTCACGGGAACATGCTCCGTGCTTGGCTTTGCCTCTAAGGTATGAGAAAACCTAAACAAAATAGTTAAGGAAATGCGCCCATAGCAGGAGGCCTGTCTGAAGTCACCACCTCTCCTTCCAGTTTTGTTTGGGCCCCAAAACGCTCCACCTTAAAGAAAGCTCTCAGCAGAAACCCCGTTAACTCTGGGACTGGTGCAGACTGCTAAGCAGCGCTGCCCAGACACTGTTTTTGTAGGAACCGGAGAGACAGGAGCATTGCATTACCAATCTCTTGGTATAAAAAAAACAAAAAAAAAGGAAGAAAAAAAAATCCCCCAAGCCAATCCTCAAAACAAAGGCAAAATAAAGTAAAACTAAAAAAATAAAACTAAGAAACTAAAAAAATAAAACTAAGTTTTTTTTAAAAAAAAGCTCTTTCAAATAAACAGAAAGATAAATATTCTTGCAAGCCCTGCTTGCAATTAAGAATAAGCACCAAACAATATTAAAAAAAGCAAAATAAAAACAAATCCCGTGTCTCTCTGAATTCTTCCTTTTTCGAGTCTTAATAGTTTAGAGAGCTTGGAAAGCAAGTGGGCTCTTCAGGATCCTGTGCTGCTCCAAAGACCAATTCAAGGACCCATCTCCCTGCCACTGCTGCTGCTGCTCCTTAGCACTGAACTCTGAAAACTGCTGCCTGGGACTAGTTTGTGATCAGCTAAAAGGCAAATTGAAATGATAGTACAAGAAAAAATGTTTTTTTTTCTTTTTCTCTCTTTTTTTAAACAAAAACTGGGAGGAAAGGGAATGCAGTGACACCTTCAAACTGAGCAAACCCTTGTGCTAYGTGAAGCTGATAGCGTCTCAGAAGCCTCTGCAAATCCGCTGGGGGAAGTCTCCAGTCTCCTGAGAGAGTTTGGAAGAACAGTAAATTTGGAAAAACTGTGGCTTGCTGCTCTGCTGTTCCCCTGCTGAGCACATCCATCCCCCTGTTCAGCAGCTGTATGAACACATTGCTCTGGGCATCCCAAGGGCCTCCTTGCAGGGACACTGCCCACCAGAGACCATGCAGCAGTGGACACGGACCCAGCGKGGTGGCCTTTGGAGCTGCCACACGGTGCTTTGCCCACAAGAATGGATTTTCTCCCCAGAAATGGTTCCTMAGTGCACAGTACTGTATAGGGACAGTGGACTATACCTTGGACTAGACGATCTCTAGAGGCCCCTTCCAACCTTGAACATTCTGTATRGGACTAGCAGCTGTCTAGACCTAGGATGTCTTTAGTGGAGTGCTTGGAAATTGCTCCCGGGCATTCGGGGTTAGAAAAACAGCTAGAGATGAGACCAAAATCCAAAGGGATATAAGCCCAGTCTTAACATACAAAGCATGGGAAGAAAAAATAGTGATAACAGAACAGAGACCTCTCAAAGCATATTTTTGGCCCTTTCTCTAATAAGTCATCAGGTTTGTATGAAGAGATGTCAAATGCAGAGATGAAGAGATGCAGAAATAAATTTTGGAAAAAAAAAGAAGAAAAAAAAAGTCTTAGAGAGTAATGGGAAGGAATTGCATAAAAAAGGCCACTTGGAGCTGCTCCCACCTGAACACCGCCTGGCTCCCCAGGGCTGCCTCCTGAGCTTAGCAAACTTCTCTGCATCATTTTAAACACACCCAAAGCCATTCTGCTTGATTGTGGAAATGGCTTAACATTTGCTGCTTCTGCCCCACTGAATTCTTTTGAATTTTTTTTCCCAAATCCTATATGTTTCCTGATTTTTTTTTTTTTTTGTTACTGCTTCCTGGTGTAAGGTACCTTTCTGAATTGAAACATGCCACATCCCACGAGCACAAAAGGGGTGTGCGAGTCAGTGGAGTTACAATCTGAGTAGCAAGGGCAAGATATTTAATATCTATGCGCTCCCTGAAAGTCATCAGGTATCATCTATCCCCACTGGCCGAGCTAAGCTTGGCTGTACAGACTGTAGGCAGATCCCAGGGGATACATAGATACATATATGTATATATACAGTATATCTATATATGCCAGTGTGTACGCACCATTTGTAGAGTCCTAATCTTTTGCTAAAGGCTTGTTTTTGGTTACGTTCCCCCAGAAAAGGGGAATTTGAAGGCACAGACCCCTTAAGGCTACGTTCTCTGATCCCAGCTGTGTTCAGTCAAGGTTTGCACAGAAAGGCGCTGCTCTCTGCGGCGCCGTCAGCCTCCACAGACAGAATTCATGCAGAAACCAAAGGAGAGAGGCCTTTTCCCACCACGTACAGACCTTTACAACACGTTTTATTTAACCCCCCCCCGGTGGCTTGTCGGCTGTAGGCACCAGAAGGGCGCGGGGAGATGTCCTCTGTACCAAAGCTGAGCAGGATCGACGTGCAGAGGAGGCGCCGTGCGGTCCGGCCGCAGCGTGGTGCAGGTGAGATGCAGTCCTGGAGACCCGTGGGGCGCTCAGCAGAAGATCTCCTCGCCCTCCGGTGGTGCTTCTGACGACTGGGAGTCTGCCGAGGGAAACGGGGCGGGAATCACTATGGGAAGAGCGAGGACGGATCGTGCACTCCGGAAAAGCCCAGCCGTGCTGTAGGRCACAAGCAGGAGCACCCCACCTAGAGCTCTGGGAGCAGATGTACTGAAGCGGGGAATTTTCCCCTTGCAAAACTGGCTCCTGTCACAGCCCAAAGGAGAGACACAGCCCCTCAGATAACCCTCTGCTTCCTTCGCACAGGATGACACAGAGAAGCTGGCTTTAAGCTGGGAACTCCACTCACCACAGCTCATCCCTCAAAGTTACCTCTTTTCCAAAGTGACTCTTCTCCATCCCTCAAAGTTACCATCCCCACTCAAAGCTAGACTTCATGGCCTCCTCAAACTCGCTGAGCGGAGGCAAAAGCGAGCTCAGGGGTCCTGCAAACCATCTATGATCAGCCCTGACACTCACCAGATGGTTGGGAGCGATGTCCTTTGCCCTTTTTCTTCTTTTCTTTTTTCTCCTTTGGTTTGGCTAAACTGAAGAGGCGGGTGGGCATCTGGGGCTGTCCTTCAGCCGCCTTGTTAGTCTGGTTTGTTGTGCTAAGCAAATGGAAAGTGCTTTTCTCTTTGTGTGTCCTTGAAAGACTATTCCTTTTAGGAGACACAGACAGTTCTGCATCAAAGTGCCCCTGTTTGGGAAGGGGAGGGCTCTTCTGCTTGGAGGAATCCTCGGTGCTGGGCAGGGAGGGGATTCTTGCAAGCTTGTCATGTAGAGTGGAAACCTGTGAAAGAAAAAGAGGTGTTTTATCGGGGCATGAAATGGGCAAAGAGGAAACATCCTATTTGCTGCAAAAAACAGATGTTTGCAAATAGGCAAACATCTTCCTGGAGGTGCTATTAACAACACCTAGCCCCATTCACCAGCTTAAAAACAGTCTCCTACCCAGGCAAAGCAACGACGATGCTGGCGCTCATCGGGGAGGCTTCTCTYAAGGGCAGCCTTCCCAAGCAAAACATGAAAGTGAAACATTTTCCTGTTTTTTTTTTCCTAATGTTTGTCTCAGGATGTAATTGAGCCTTTATGTATTCAAAGGGAAGATCAAAACACGAGCTCAATAGAGCCYCACCAAACCCACTATTAAGAGCTCTGAAGCATCAGTAAAGTATCTGCTTCCTTTGCTTGATCTACCAGGCTATTTTACCTCACAGCCTTCCCATAGCATCCGTGCCCCTAACATGCAGGTACACGTGTGATGCTGAAGCAGCTCTGTTTTACACCAGGACAGTTCTGGGCTTGGACAGTAACGRGGGCTGGTAGCAGCAGGGACCCTTCTTATTCGCTACTCAGAGTTCGCTGCTGAGCTGCACGGTAAGTCTGTTCTGGCGCCCCAAATCTTTTCTGTTCCACAGTCCACCATTTATAAACTAATTCTGCTACAGCTCAAAGCAAATTACATCAAGAATTAGTGAGTTATAAACAAACAAATGATCAGCAACAGACTTGAGGTTCCATCTCTGCTCAGGTTTTGCAGACTGAGGCATGTTCTCCTCAGCCAAGCTGCTGCACTAATAGAAAATAACCCCCAACTTGCTAACAATGTACTAGCACAGCACAGAACTAGATCTGTGCACAGGCTTTTCTTTCTGGCCTGGGAAGCCAGATACCAGAAGCTTCTTGCATCAGAGCAAGTGACCTTTGCTTGCTAAGCTATGTCGAGGTGGCAGATGTCCAGACTCTTTAGGACAGGGGCAATGTCCATCTCTGCTAGATACCGAGAACACTTTTGGAGGTTGCCATAAGCAYGGACTGCAAACACCAAGGTCCTCCTCTGCAGTTATCAGTCCTTTATTTGTAGGAACTTGCAAGTGGTTTCTGTGACAGCAGGAGGGTGCAAGTAACCAGCGCTGCCTGCACCACTTCTGAGAATAAATTCTCACTTGCACCACAGAGCTGAAGCCTTGCAGTGAGGGCCATCCTGCAGTGCAGTTCACACCTCCCTGGGTTTTCCAGCGTGCTTCTGCACTCTGCCATTTGCCCAGCAATGGCAGAGCAAGTGGGCAGAGCACAGAGGACCTCAGGCAAGGGCTCCTGCAGAGACCAGGCGCGTGTCGCTGGGAGCCTGGATGCACATCGGTCACGGGCCTGCTGCGGTGGCCACTCTTACTGTGCCAAAATGCAGCCCTGCTTATCACGTGCAAAAACACATCCATCAAAAAAAAAAAACCAGACAGTTTTAAAATGCACACCCTGTGTTTCTGGATCCAGATCCGAATCCCATCTGTCCCTGCCCCACCGTGGGCAGCCTGGCAGCCGACGAGCACGGTGAGAGCAGTGCAGAGCTCTGGGCAGAGCCTCCCCGGCACCGTGGCGCTTGGCAGCACTCACCTGGTTGTGGTCAGGCTCCAACTGCGTTTGAGGTAATCGCTCCATGTCTCTCTTGAGCTGCTCCTTTTCCCTCTCCAGCTGTTTCTGTGCCGTACGGAGCCGCTCCAAGTCGAGCTGGTAGGAAGCTTTCTTCACCTGCAGCTCCTCCCGCTCCCGTTCGAGATCCTGACTCCCTCTCTGGACCTGCTTCTCTCGCTGGGCCAGGTGGGCCTCCTGCTCTGTCAGCTCCTTCTCCCGAGCTTCCCACTCCTTCTCCCTCCTCCGCTTCTCCTCCTGGTGCTGCGCCTGCTGCTTCTGCAGGTTGGCCAGCTCCTGGCGCTGCTTCTCCAGGTTGCGCTGCTTCTCCTGCTCGATCAAGGAGTTGGGCCGGGAGAGGCTTCGGGTCAGCGCTCGCTCGCTCAGCGCCAGCTTCTGGTCCTCRATGAAGGTGTCCTGCTGCAGCACCACAGCCTGCGGAGGGAGAGGGAAATCGCTGGAGCCCTCTCTGCAGAAAGCAGCTCCAGGCCCGAGCAGCTCTCGGGGACACAGTGCGTAATCCCTTAGGGGACTCAGTCACGGCAGGTTCCCTGGCACGGACTAGTTCTCACAGCCTCCCACACCAGCTCCCCAAATCCGGACTAGCTCTGTCAGCTGGTGGGCACTGCTGTGCAGGGTGGACACGGCTGTGCAGCAGCAGCAGGCTGCCTGTGAGGACAGGCAGGAGCGATGGGCGCTGTGCGAGCCGCCGTGCAGCTCGGGCAAGCGACACGCAGCAAACAGATGGGGGGCCTACCTGCAAAGCACTGAGCAGCTTATGGAGGTTGGTGATGCTTTGGAGAACCTGCTGCAAGGAAACAAAAGCGTTGCTATTAGACCTCCCTTGGGTGCCAGCACACCAGTAAAGCACTCTCCTTTCCCACCAGGACCCCAYGGGTAAGGCTTATGAGCCAGAGCGTTGAGGCCGTGGCCATCCCTCCATCCCTACTCCATGCTTTCTCACTCGTCACCTGCAACAACTGCATCATGCCCGGCCACACAAGCTGGTCACAGCACTCCCCTCAGACACTCCTCAGAGATGAYTAGCACTATTTCCCCCCCTTTGTTAGCACTCAGTGCAACAAGCTGTCCCTTATCAAGCTGTCTGCAGCTCCTGTGTGCAGCAGCTGAGACCTCACGGGAACTCACGGGGGGTCTCCTCAAACTCTTTCCTGCAGCATCAACTTGCTCACGAATAAACAGAGCAACTGGGATGAAAACTAAGGGTTCATTCCAAGTTTCCAGGGAAACAAAGGGGTAAAAGTGCAGAAGCCTTAAAATGAACCTGTACTGTCTGCTCCCTTCCRCATCACAGCATCCGTATAATGCCCGCTGTCATTAGACATGAGAGCTGTGGCAGCAAAACAAATCTGACACACACAAATTTGGCAGGTGTCGTCACAGAGCATCTGAAAACACAGGTGAACACGAACACATCGTGCATTGATGCAGTGCCAAAGCAGACTACGCTGGGGTGATGCTCCATCCCTAAGCATATTTTTAGCTCAGCTACAAATTTTCTGAATCCTGCCTACCCTACAATTACTTTTTAGACCAAAACAAAAGCCTATCCCAAATCAACCAACAAAACCAGCAGTATGTGCAAGAGTTGCTTGATAGCTAGTATTAAGAGAATGGCTTCTCATTCTGTCATTAATGCTAATTGGGAGTTATGAATGCGTATCAATGAGAGAATAGAAATCTAATTGCCCCAATTCACTGCACCTGCAACATATAATTAAACTCCTTCTATCTGCAGATGTAGAATAAATACAGTCCTGCACATCCTAGCAGTAATTAACCCTTGATGCCCCTAATGAGCACACATCACCCTGCTGGCAAGCAGATGACAGTGGGTGAATCCCCTGTCTGACCATCCAAGGTTAAATAAGTAAGTGACACCGTGGACCCAGTTTAATGTATTTAAAAGTCTGCATGCACTTCGGCATATGAAATAAATTTTCTCCTATGTTATCACCTATTGAGGCAAATTCAATTGGCACTTAAATGAAAGAAACACTAAGGCAACAGAGTCTGTTCTTACCTCATTATTCCTTTTCAACATGAACATAAGATTAGCATTTCCACCCTATGAAAAGATCACATAGTTTTAATATGAATACAAAAAAGACATCACAACAAATCTGTTTTGAAGCACTAATGACAGATCTTCCCATTTGCCATTCTGGGAGAATTCATATATGCTTTTTAAGCAAGCAAAAAAACATATAAAATCAAATGTTAATTTGGGATTGTTTTGTACTGATATGATGAATTGATCCACAGCAAGAACGGATGCAAGGTTATATTTGACCTTGACATTTCAATAATGATGCATAATTAAACACATGTTTTAGTTGATCTGCAGCCAGATGGCAGATAACCTGTGCCACAAAGGAATATTATTCTTTTGACATGATTTTCAAGGGAGGATTTTAGCTGCAACAAAGTGGTTTTAACTACACACTTACAGTTTTATTTCATTTTTAACTTGCTGTGGTACATCTAATTGTAAAGAAATACCTTCTTTAAAATGCTGTCCGATTCTGTTCTCCGAAGGTCCTGAGCATCATCACCTTCCTCCTTATCTCCACCTAAAGGAAGGAACTAGGATTAGCATTGATTATTTCACATTTTAAACCATAGATGAACTTGCTATTGTCTGAGAAATTTAATACAGGAAACGGAGATGTTTTACAAAAGGTCCACAGATCTCTCGACACTTGAAATAAGTGCATGTGCTCTCTGTAATACAGAGCACGTCACTACCACAAGAAAAGGCAGATGTGAATTCAGATTAGGATTGACTTTGGTTTCAAACAACGTCCTCATGTATTTCAGCACACTCTTATTAGCTCTATCTCCCAAACCAGCTTATACTCCAGAAGAGCACAAGTTGGGAGGACATGAGACTAATGAAGAGCAGATGGAGAGCAAAAACAGCATCATATCAGGGTATATTCTTGCAGGTAAAGTTTCAGTACTCTCTGTCTAAATGTAGTTTACAGCTGCTTCAGATACTGTGTCAGATACTGCCATGCAGCTTCTTCCTAACAACTTCTCCATGGCCTCAGTCATTGGAAATGTGTCCCTTTGGAAAGACACTGACTTCTGAAGTCTCCCAAGACTCTTTTACTACTGAATTACAGCCTAATTCAAAAGAGGCTATTTCTACAGCATAGGGTGTGTGCTAAGCCACCAACAGCCCGAGGCTGTCCCCCACTTATCACTGCAAGAGAGAGGCTGGGCCCCAGACAGGCCCTCCAGCTCTCAGTGTGWATATATTTGTCATTACCATGACAAAGCCCGTTGGGAGTGTTGTGGCTTTCCAAGGGCTGTGGAAATCTCTACATATTTCTCATGCCTGACTGTCTGGAGCTAATGCTGCTCCTTCAAGACAGGAGGTCAGATGGGCCCAACGATCCCAAAGCTGAGACAGACACTAGCCCAGCACAACTGACAGTACTGGGAGCATAAGTGAAGGAAAGAGCTAAGAATTTGGGGACAAGGGTGTTTCTGATGAGCGTAGCAAAGAAAGAGAGCACTGGGAAGCAGMCAGCTAAACATCTGACTGCTGGGAGGTAACTGGAAAAGAGAGTTGGAGGGAGAACCCCATATATATGTGTAAAGAAGGAGGGATGATTCTGAGCACCAAGAGAGAGCAGAGTCAGCATTGCAGGTGCTTAACCCTCTCATAGCTTTTTCAATAGAGTTTTCAATAATCATAATCTCTCCCCTGTACATACACTCATCTGCTATTTGATCTGCCTACCATCACAGGAGAGCAGCTGGGAAATCAGAATTCAGCAGCTGCTGGAGCCCTTCTGAAGGGAGAGGCCATCATGACATTATGCATTATTAACACAAGCCAATATGCACAYGTTTAATTACTCACCCTTGGAGGCGTTCATCTGATGACTGTCAAATCCTCCAAAAGTTTCTGCCCGTCTAGGGAGAGAGATGGGGCCAACGCCTCCTTCTTGTTCCATGACCTGCTGCCCAAGGACACAGCCAAGGCTCCTGCTCACCAGGCCTTGCAGCAGTTCAACTGGTAATGATAAAAAGCAACAATATCACTCTTGAAGATCATCTCAGGCTTCCTGAGCCATTTTCCTTCCAACTGAGCTCAGGCCAGAAATTCACACACGTTTTCAGAACGATAAATTACTAGTTCTGTGACAAGGACAGCAACAGTGCATGTTTCCTCTTGTAAAAACTCAGTCTGTTTGGGCTTAAATTCCAAGACCAGGAGTTGTGCAGTGGTTTACCCCTCCCTCCCTTTCTCCAGGCAACCCTGGTGTGCTCTGACTACAGCACTGAACAATTTCTGCTCTCTCCAGAAATCACACTGGAAAGTTGCCCAAGTTTTCATTTGCCAGCAGACTTGCTCGTCCCTTGCAACACCAGGAATGCCTTCAGAATCAGAGCCCACCTCTCACACTGTGCTACCCTGCTGAGAGTGGAGCAGAGCAAAGGACAGAGAGGCCCATACTTCAGACAAGGATAAAATTCTGGGTTGCCCTTGCCCTCAGCTTCCATTCAGTGCATGGATGTTCCCTCTGTTAGGACCTCTTTTCTGGCCTCCATCTAACAGCCATCAGCACCTGCCTCTTTTCCTGATCCTCGTTACCTGTCTTGTTAGCCACAATACTCACAAGTGTGAGCAGCACTGTCTAGCTGTGCTCTGGGTTGTTGCTCATTCGGGAGGAGGAGATGACTCCTCGTAAAAAAATATGCTTGAGACCTGACAGATTCACCACGAGATGGACGTGWGGGTCAGTGCAACAAACGTGTGTCCCTGCCTTGCCCACCTTCATTTATTGCACTTTTCATAATGGCCTCTCCTTTCGGTGCCTCCTCCGTGTTTGCTCTGAAGAGCACTCTGGAGCCTGGCAGGTCCTCCTGCACAGAGCAGTCTGCCATGTCCCTGAAGATCTTCTCCTTTTCCTCCAGCAAGATGAGGATCTGCTTGTCCTTCTGGTGAAGTTGTTCTGTGGCAGTGAGAGGGTGAACAGGAGGAAAAAAAAAAAAAAGAAAGAAAAGAAAGAAAAAAAGATGAAGACAGAAAGTAAAAGCTTTGGCACAGCTACAAAATAATTCTTGGGTTACTGGCCCCATCTAGTGGAACAGCTCTGAAAAACAGCATGAAGCAAGAGCACGCAGTAAACTCGGGGAAAAAAAAGGTGCGAACACAGACGAGGGCAAACAAGGACTGCAGTTATTTGCTGGAGGCACAATTTTCCCAAATCCTCAAAACAATCCCCAGATCTGTTCTGTCCCTTAATGGTGTTTACCTTTCAATTCTCTCACTTTTGTGTCTGACACTCTCTTTTCCAACTCAGATTCACTAGGGACTCCTTCATCTTCATCCTTATCCCTGGACGAGAGAGACATCTCAGTTACTACCATAATATGATCACATGCAACAGCTGTCCCACAAGAACAGCTTGGTATCTTACATGGTGTCAATTGTATCTTGAATGATCTGTATCCAGCTGCTACGCTCTTCTTTGGAGCTGGCATGGACTTCCACCATCTCGGGATCTTTGGTACCCACGCTGATCAGGAACAAACCCTTCTCTTCATGAGCCACTTCTCGTACAATCAGCTTCTTCAGGGAGATCACAGTGGATTTCTGGTCCTTCAGATGGAAAGATGGGTGAGGAGGGCAAAGAAGTACCAGAGTTTTTAGATAGTTTACTAACAATCAAAAGGTCCAAATACCAATGCATTTACCTCTTTCAGATTGTAAGCATTTTTTGAAGCTACTGGTTAATTAAACATTTAAAATTTTAAGGCTAGACAGGTTGTCTTCTTTTATCAGTGCTGTAGAAAACATCACTTCACCGTCTTTCCTCCCAACAACTATTTTAAAATCAGCTGTGTGGTTTTGCACACTCTGCTGTGTTTTGCTCTGTCTCCAGCAGACCTTTTATCTCATCTCCTCCTGCACACACCCTGTACTCTATCTTTAATATCACAACTCCTGGTACTTAGTGAGGCTTGCTAATGTGTGCTTCACATACATTATCTCGGCCAATGCTCCCTAGGAGGGAATGATATCTTATTTTCAAATCCCACAAAAGCTCTGCTGTGCTCAGAACCTGTGAGTGACTAGCATGATGGACAGGATTTTGAGGGAAGACTATCCACACTGTGCTAYGGCCCTTGCATCAACCTGCTTAGCTGAAAGCTTCCCCTGTGAAGAGCACGTGTTGTGCAGTTCATTGAGGAAGCTGGAATAACTCACAGCTGCTTTAAAAATGTTGTTCAAAGGGTGTAAAGAACACAAAGAACCAAATGGCTAAACCATTCTGCAAGGTACAACCCCAACGGGCCCAATTAGGTACTGGATTGTCCCCAGTGGGTCCTACGTCCAGGCCTGGCTTCAAAGCCAATGCTTTTGCTTTCGTGCATTACAAATATATTCCACTGACGTGAATTTGCAAGCTGTTTGATCAATTTACTGCAGTAGCAGCCTTTTCTTTTTCCCCCTTAGCACTTCACAAGGTATTAKGGCAGTTTCTTCTGCTATGATTTGTTTTTATGATGTCCACATTATCCCATTACCTCACCCCCAACACTGCTTCAGTTTGCACAAACTGAAAAGGAGTAAGTGCATCAAGTGATGGGCATATTTTCAAGACCAATTATCCGCTGTGCCAAGGCAGGGCAGAAATGACTGAGGGGAGGTGGGGAACGAAGACATGTTTTCCAATAGACAAGAGTGGAGCCTGCTCAGGAAACACAAATGTTATATGTAACATCAACCTAAATGCTGAGAAAACTAAGTTGTTCAGCAGGAAATAGTTGGCTTCACTGCAGGACACATATCAAGGATCTCTCCAATAGAAAAGGAAGGAGAAGAATCTGTTGAAGCCTTACCAGTGAGGCAAAGACATACTTCTGGTCCTTCTCCTGAAGGAACACGAGCATATCAGAGAGGAGAACAGCCTGGACTTCTGCAAAAGGAAAAGAAGAGCAGGTAGAATAACCAGCTTAATCTTTTTGTAACGCCAATGTCCTGGCTGTTGGGGAACATTAAGGCTGTTTTTGCAAATCCCACAAATGGGACCAGTCTTCCATGCTGCTTAGTCTGCTGGCTGGCAGAAGCAGTAGCTCCTGCAGCAGCAATAGGACCAGCTTGTGGAAACCCCGTGTCAGATCAGCTCTGAGGCAATATCTCTGTGCTATGGAGAACTGCACTTGAGAAACCTGCAGGACTCCTACGTCTGTCTAAGCTGCAATGTTCCTCTCCAGGCACAAGCTATCTAACAGAAAAGCAAAAGCTAAGGACACCAAATGTAACCATCGTCTTCTCAAGCAACTATTATTTTGGTCCCCGAGCAAACGATTTACACAGGAAGTCTTGGGTTTTATGGTTCTCTTGATGAGTGGTTTGCGGAGTACAAATTACCATGCAATAGCAGTATTCGTCAGCTGTAATTTCTTTCCCAGGAAATACTGACTTAAGGAACCACCACTAATTCTGCTTTCAGACAAATACAGCTCCTGCTAAATCCTAGGGGAGTTAAAGGGTTCTGCATGAGATACACGACCTGGCTTTCCTTCACAGGAAAAGAAAGTACAACATGGACTGAACAGAAAATTTTAAATCAGCAGACACACTTTTCCCAAAGTACACATGCAGCTTTCCAAGTCTTCTCATGCTACATCGTCATAAGGTTGTACAGTAACTAGTAAGTGTAGGGCCCCACCTTCATCCTGCAGTACAAAGAGGGTTTTGGAATAGACTTGGGAAATCTTGTGACAGAGATGAAGCAAACAGAACAAAATAATCACCTCATGGGCAATTCCTTCCATTCTCTTCTGGCAGGACATAAAGCATYTTGGATAAAAGAACCCTCTAACTTTTATCAAAGGTGCAAAACGAACTCATTGCACTGCATAACACCAGCTACCAGACTCCATGCAGCCCCAAGTACGATGGTTTAAACAACCGATGCCAGGAGTAAGAGGAAAGAAACCTAAACTTTCTGACAAGTCTGAAACAGAGCATTACCTGCCCTTAGCATTACCATGATCCTAGCTTAAGGTCTCCTTGGGAGATTCAGTGCTTAATTCAATAATGAACAACAGTGGCATGCTTTGCTCAGTAAAGCAGAGCAATTCAGAAAAACAATTATTTACATTATATAACAAACAAAAAGCATTTTAAGAAATCCAGTAGCTAATAATACACACAACAGCAAGTCTGAGGAAGCTACAGGGCTTCCCATCCTCCTCACTTCCCCTTTGGGCACAGTGACAGCTTGCCTAAGCGGCTCAAGAAGTCTGAGAGTAGGAAACGTYCAGGCCCCTGCTCTGCAGTAGCTGCTGGCAGAGGGGATGTCGCACTGCAGAAGACCTTTAGAGCAAAGGAAACGCAGAGCTGCTTGTGGGCAGAGACACCRGGAACTTGAGGTTTGGGTTCAGCCTCAGCATGTGCTTCCCAGAGCCACCGCACATGCGCGTTTAGGCGCGGAGTCAGGACTCGACGCTCTGAGCAACTGTGGCCTCATCATGATCTCACGGCCCAAAGCATCTACTGGTGATCCATTATGTTCTCCTTGAATCACACACTAAGATCCCACTGCCCTGTGAGCCTTCACCAAGCATCCAGTTACAGTGTGGAGAAACAGCTATCATTTCTAAAACAGCCCAATGCCAGGGTGGGAATTGGGTATAAGGTAGGTGGAAGGCTACCATCAAAATCTCTCAAAGCAGAAGAATAAATAACTGCTGGAGATGACAAGTCTAAGGAGGAATCCTATCCCCRTAAGCGCAAGGCAAGATATTCTCACCTTTCAATCGTCCAGCTGCATTTTTCAGTGAAACAGGCCCATCTCGGATGAGCTTTCGATGCCGCAAATCCTCTTTTGCAAACATCTGGCCACTCTTCATCCTCATGATGGACTTGCTATCTGTCCGGGTGTAAATCTCATCAAGGCGCATTTTCTTCTCGTAATTGCTGACTTTGCTATCGACCGCAGCAATCACATCCTTAACCAGGTTTAATGACTGAGTCAAGTCTTGATGTTCCACTTCATTTTCTTTGAACAGAAACAGAAACATCTCCATTTCATTTTGTCCTTGTGTGGATTCTAACTTGCCACTTCTACTCCCGTCCTTCCTTTCCTCCATCCCAWACTCCTGTATTACAACTTCTTAATACTTTCGAGAGACAGATTTACATTTTTGCTTCTTAAAGAGATTCTCACAGCCCTTTCAGATATATAGTTGTGGTTGGGGACTACTCCAATATACTCTGCATACAGCCAGTATATACGAAATGCATAAATAACATATTTCAGCTGTTACCCCAAAAAAACACAAGTTGAGAGATTTCCAAGTCTAAGGCTATTGCTCCATAATTATTTAAAGACAGATTTATGTCAGCTAAATCAAGGAAGCCAAAAAGCTAATCCTTTAAGGAGACATAAACCCAGTTATTTGATTATAGTACACAGTAATGACAATTCTAAGAAAATCTGCTTCAGTTGAAAAGGATCAGGAAACTTACACCATATAAACAAATACGTGCTTAGGAAAGAGGAACTGGTCCTACCTTTGGTGTATTGCAGTATCCTTTGTAACAAGACCGGATACTTGGTGATTCTCTGTGTCACCAACAAGATGCATTCAGGAATCCCAAGGCGTCTCACCACCGAACTGCTCATTCTTTTCTGAGAATCAAAGAGGAATATTTCAGTTCCAGTGTGGGAAATGCTCAGAGTATAGACAGGATGTAATTTTTGCATCATCTTCTATCAGGTCCTACCTTGACAAATGCCTGAAACCGCTTATCCTTTGAGTACAGATCCTTGAAGTAATTCACAGCCTCATTGTGATGCCCGCAGAACTTGCCGTATGTTTTCTTCATTCGCTCGGCATTCTCAGCGGAGAACTGCAAGACACAAGGCACAGAGATTATTGAGTTCTCAGCACAGGATCCCAACACTGCCTGCYGGCCTCTCAAAAAGAACCTTATAAGACCAGATTAGTTCCAAACATGCTAAACTAAGCTATTCATCTCTAGAATTTATAGAGCTGAGTTTGGGATTTCACGGTACTCACAGTGACTTAACACAATGTCAAGGATTGCACCTCTGAGGGCTTAAAAGCCTCCCCAAAAATGTCATGATGGACGAAAAGAGGACAGGAGAAAACAGAGGTGTGGAAAGGTAGAAAGACCCACTCAAAGTTATAAACCAGATCGGTATCTTAGCTAAAACACAGGACTTATGCCAGTAGCTGTGTGCTACTGGCCTACTCTCCAGGTTATGGCTGAAGCGCTCTGCACTATAATGGAACACGGCAAATTGTCATCATTACACCTTGTTCTGAAAAGCTTCAAAGTGCTTAAAAAGCAGAGGCAGATACACGGAGCACAAAGGTGCAATCAGTTGTGATTATCTAATAAGCATAAACAGGAAGGAAGGAGGAGCAAGGACAGAGCGCTTGGTTTCTAGCTATGCTCTCAGAAAATGCAAATATTTTCCAGAGCTCACCTGATTCACCAGGATGTCACCTATCCTCCTGATGACAAAGTTCTTCTCACTTTTGTCTGCCAATGACTCCCTCTTCCTTTCCAGRATCCGCTGGAAGAACTGACTGTGGATGTGCAGCAAGTTTTCCAAGCAGGGGAAGATCTTGTCCACTACGTGTTGATCATACTGCAGCTCCTTTATCATCCCTGCACTGTACACATCATTCATGATCTTCAGGGTGCGGACATGATGCATCTCTGTCTGCATTAGCTCTGCATAGGAGGAGGACAAGGTCAAAAACCTGCTCGCTGTAGAGGACTTGGGGGTACAAGGAAAAGTTGTCATTGGAAAGCTCAGCCACACAAGCTGCTCTAGAGCAGCTTCCAAAAACTTATGGATGCAGAAGAAACACAGAGACAGAGGAGTCCAGCAACAAAAAGTTTCTGACTTTGCTACTGAGATCTGACCATTTCTCACCATTATCTCAATACTGCACTTCCAGCCTTAACATAGTTTATTTTTGTTGAAATAYAGGACGGCTCTCGTATCAAGATGATGATGACATCAATACAATTAGCTAGCTGCTCTACTGTAGCAGGGTATAAGTATCCTAAGTAGATGAGTGAAGAGAGGCAATGTTTTTCATTCTTTCTTTTTTTCTTTTTTTTTTTTTTTGATGGTTTCTGCATAGAAAGGCAGAGCAAGGCTTCAAAGAAAATTAGTTTTCTAAGAATTTCAGGAACAAAACTCCAGTGTCTGAGAAATCAAAATAAATTTTCCTATTTGTCAGCATAAAGCTTCCCAAATAGATAGAAGTACATAAGTAGTTGCTAAAACCAGTGAAAAAACAAAATGCAGGTATGTCTCACCATAAATGACGTCCTGCCGTTTGACAACATCTTTCTTCTGCTGTCGTAGGAACTTGCTGTCCACTACCTGGCTCCAAGACTCTGCCTCCAGCTGCTTCGAATCTAGTTCCAAGTCTCCCATCAGCTGTCCTTCGTTCATGTCTGCACCTTCACAAAGCAGCACAAGTGTTAGGAGGATACAGGTAACCTGTCTGATTTGGGATTCCTGCATATTCTACAGGTTTGGGAGCTCCTTTTGCTATGCCACCAGTATCACATATGTCCTCCTTTCCCAACAAAGAAATGATTGTGCGGAGTTGCACCAAGTAAGGACAATGTTACAAAAATCATCTTCAAAGCTTCCTTGGCCCTTGCACAAAAGTAATTCCGAATTTTCACACAGGCTAAATTTCAACTCAGATAAAAATGGATCATTCGTGAGCCATTAATCTGTGATAGAATGGCACAATGATCACCACACAACGTGCTCCTTCAGAGCTACGTGAAGTCTGTACTTTCAAAATTAGAAAGGTAGAATTAATGCAAGTAGASTTGAATGCTACATATGTTACATAAATAAATACATGTAAGAAAGATTGTCCATTTGTGCAGAAACTTAAAAATCTTCTTATCATCAGCATACCCTTGTTTAGTTCTCTTCAGGTACATACTGTAAAAATATCGATTATACTCTGGAAAACTTCATGTAAAAAAGATTAATAACAAAAGTAGTAAAAGATTAATAAATTTCATGTAAAAAAAAATTACAGCTGAGAAATTAATTTAATGGAATTAACTGACATAATTTTTGAGAGCAGAAAGCTAAATAACACCCTTCCTCCCTCCTTGCTATGAGGGAAAAGAAGCACCACCTTTTTGCCATGAGAAAGGCAAAAAGGTGCAAAATACATAACTGAAATGGATGGGCCAGAAGAACAGAGGAAGGAGGAACTGAGCTGAACTCCAAGTAATGCAGCAGTAATGGATACCTTCCATACATCTTCTCAAAATTCAACAAGCTGATGAAACTACTGTGTGTGGCCTTGTTTTAGTTTATCACACCAATATTCCTGTATTACAGTCTTTGCACTTTAATTGCCCATTAAAAGAAAAACTCATGCTGAATCATAAAAAGGGACCTTCAGTTTTTGGAAGGCAGCACTGAGGCCTTGCTGCTGTTATATGTGCCAGGGCATCTCTTACCCTCATCGATCAGCGACTCCATCGATTCATTCACCCGGCTGATTTTATGTAAAGAGTCTGTGGACTGTGAGAGGAATTTCCAAGTATGTATTAGGTTGTCATCATTGCCTACTCTGTAGACAAAGGAAAACAAGAACTGTAGTTGAGGACATCAAATCCCAGTCAATAACCTTTTCAAGACTACAGAAGAAATGGCATTTTAAATGCAAATARAAAACCAAAGTACGTGTTGCTTAGTAACACGAAAATGTACTTCTATTGTTTTCTAACAACTATACAACAGGACTGACATGCAAAAAGATCTAAATTTCCAAGTGATGGTGCTTCTTCCATAACGGATCACAGCTCAGGTTTTATGGTCTGGACAACTCCTTTCATTACTTTCAATTTTTATACTGTTACTTTCCCTCATCATTTCCTTGGGTTAGGCAGGGGCCAGAATGCAATACAGAAAGCTGTCCAAGAGTCTTTCTCACTAGCTCTGAGCAGGAAAAGGAAAATAAACTGAAATAAATTTCATCATTTCTTCCTGGAGCTCAGAACATCTCTGTGAAGCTGCCGTGCATGTAGCAAGGCCAGCTGAGATGCCTTTGAAGTCACACCATGGCTAAACTAACCCAGACAACTTGATTGGCATAACAGCTGATGGGATCATAATATAGATTATAAGAATATGAGCAGTTTTATGATTTTCTGATCCTCTTCCCTATTGGTAACACAGACCATATTATACAAACCCATTTCTCATGAGATTCCTTTTTTTTTTTTTTTTTTTAAATCAGGGGATGCACAGGATGGATCCTTACCCTGCAATGTTCTGTATGGAGACACTCTTGGAAAGTGCTGCAGGCTGCTGTGACCTCCTGTTATTGAATATGGAGGTCACGGTGCTTTCATCAGGAGCGAGTATGGCAGAGCGCGGGCGCTCCTTGGGCTGGGAGCCTAGAAGGGAAGAGACAACTGTCTTGTTAACTGCAACAAYGGTAGCTTAACGAAGCCAGGCTCTAAAATTCATATCCTTTTCTCTACGGCAGACCCTCAGTGATTAGAAGCAGTCATTACTGCAGTGAAGTCTGAGGTACCTGACTCTCTCAAACCACTACTGTGCTGTACATTAACATAAGGCAGGAATAGAAAGTCATGAACTTTCTATTCAAAGCAAAGCCAAGCCATCCACTTTGCAATTTTGCTCAAATAGAAAATGCAAATATTAGTTCCTCAAATATCTTTGAACAAATTCTAGGTCTCCTGCTCAGGATTAATGTGGTATGATTGATGTGAGCCATCTGAGAAACTTTATCCTCTTAAGACACAATATGCTTAAGTCTAATTCAATTCTGCTGCATAGTAGGAAAACCAAAGACAAGGGCTTATTAACTGTTATCTTTTCTGTGATACCATCACAGCTCAACAGGTTCCAGAGAGGCTGGCACTGAATCCTTCTTACGGAACTAAGTGCTGCTCTTTCTCAAGAGGGAAAGAAAAACAACCCCTCGGTGGGGCCCTGCACTTAAATATAAGATGCAGGTGGAACCTGCAAGTCCAGAAACGCACACTTGGGCAAGTGAATTTAATTTTAATCCACGAATAATCACATGTATCAAGCTACTATTTTACTTCTCTGGGCAAGGAATTCCTGTAGTTATATACATCTTCATGCTTCTGGTCGAAGCTTTTGAGCAAGTTTTTACTAACCATACAGAAACATCAATCTATATCTCATTATTTAAAGATGAGCATCAATTTTCGCCTAATCTTTCCATCTCAATTCAATTTTTCCCTTCTTCAGACTGCTTTCTGGTTTGTAGAGTGGAACTTCTGAATTTCTGATAAAACCCACGCAGGGTACATCCCACCACACAGTGCGGGGCCACACAGTGATCTCCAAGCAGGCAGAATCCAGGTTGTCAATCCATGGTACTACAGAATCTATAGGGGCTGTTTCATTTTCATTTTTTCCCCTCAGTCACTGTGGGCAGCTCTACAGCACACGGTCTATCACCRTGCCAGCATGCAGCATTTGTCAGTATCGCCCCTGTTCAAAATTAACTTTTCTATTTTTTATTACATGAAAATATAAGAATATTGAAATATATACTTTAAACAAAGATCCCTTCAACTTGCAATCTTAGCTTTTTATGTTAACATAACATACACAGGCGGATTCTTTTCAGTGTCAGGCACACATGAACATAAGTCTTCCAGATTTTGTGGGCTCATCAGCTGCAGCCCTTGAGGAAGCCAGAACAGTCAAGCAGCTACTCTAAACCTGACATGGTTTTACATTTGCTTCAAGTTACTTCATGCAGAAGTGGCAAAACCATCTGCACAACTGCAGCACAGCTCCTGAAATCCGAAACACTGCTTATCATGCCCAAGGGATGCTCCCAACCCTGTGTTATTAAAGGTTTAGCTTTGATAATATGGAATATTCATTCGTCATAACAGTTAAGAACAGCAGCTAGAGACCAACATCAAAACAGAAAATTTACTTACTTTTGTTTCTCATGGTTACTGTGGGTAATGAAGAGGTATCATGTGCCTGCAGCATCCCTTTTTGTGGCTAAAAGAAATGGAAATTTACTGTAATTTCTGCTCTCTTTTCCCATCGGGCCATGCCATGTAACTAAATTCAAAAAGCAATGTTTTCCTGAAACCTCTCAGAACAGATTGGTCCTTGGGTATACACGGATGGCATTAACTCTCATCAGCTGCAGTAGTTGCCATCAGTGAAATAGGCAAAATCACAGATGGAGAAATGTGCAGTAAATAGTAAAATGAAAAGAAAAAGGACTGATATTACTTAGGAGAACAACTAAAAGTCACAGAAGAGATTTTCTAATTTTCCTCATAATTGCATTGATTACGGATTCATCCTTGTGCTAGYTTGCAGAACCATACCACAAAAGAGATTCCCCACATTTAGGTAAACGTGAATTCTGTTCAAGCCACACACAAAGATAAATCTCACATAAAAACATACTACCTAATAAATGTCACGATGCATTATATAGTCATAAATGCTGCATCGCAAAACGTAGCATTAAGAAATTAAGAGGTATTGCACCCGTGGGTGTTAGACAATCCTGCATTTTCCCAGTGCTTTCTTATATCATATGCTCCTCCAGTGTTTTTACCACAGTTGCTGCACTAACACCCTCTTCTCTTAAGTACCTGCCTAAGCACTAAGAATTTGGRAGATTTAGAGAAATGATTCACTATAGCACAAGGTCTGGCTCTTCCAGACGAGCTGGAAAGCTTTGCACAATACAGCAGAAGACATTATACATCTTCATACCCCAGTGTTTAGACAGTTCTCCCTCAATACAGTCAACGAAATCTCTTACCTTCATTTTGACCTTTGCACAGGAGGCAAAACTCTCCTTACAGCCTTTGTGAACAATTGCATTGCAGTCTGCAAAAAGCAAGAAAACAAGACACAGAAAGAAGATCAGTATTTGCCATTTTTGTATTTTGAACTGTTATCCTGCATAACTGAACTGCAGCTTTCAGTCATCAGTGCAGTTTATAYGGGTAGTTGCAGATGCTGACAACCAGGCTGCTTTCCAGCATAATTAGCTCCTTATTTATTAATGTTTCCACATGGTTTTCAACAGGAAATTCTGTTTAAAAATGAAGGCAAGGCAGAGCTAACAGGGTCTTAAACAAAAACAAAACACAACAAAGGGGTTTTTATTCTTCTGAAAGCAAAGTAAGGGGGAAAGAAGATGGAGACAGAAATAGAAGCCAATTAGGTTCCCAGTATTTTCTCTGAAAACACTAATATCTTTCTTATCAAGGCAAGTATTATAGGATCCAGAAGGCATGAAAAGGACAGGAAAATTAATTTAGATGAAGTTAGACACATCATAGACAGGATCTTTTTTTCCATCTGTTACTGTACTACAAGATTATCAGAAAAAGTAACAGAAGCATCTGCCAGGTAACTGTATTTGTGAGACAGGCACCTGTCTGCTGGGAAGTAGACTCAAGCCACTGATTTTGGCTAGAAAACACCACACAAACAGCACTGTGCTTTAGCACCAGCTTTTGCTGCAAAAACGCTAGGAAAAAACAAACAAACAAACAAAAAATCCACTTAATTTCTTTTTCCTCAGCCAGCCAATGATCTATCCTAGCAGATTTCTGTGAATCAAATTTTTCAAAGATTAAAAGAACTGTCCTCCCTCCCATAATGAAATTCAGGATCTTCAAGAAAATCTGCTGTTCTGTTCACTCCTGAAAACACAGGTTAACACAATTCACCAATTATTATATTCTAAATGTACAGTTCTAAATCGTCTTTAAAAGAAATATGAAATGAAAACATTCCAAGCCCAAATCCACAAAACAGTCTCACTTCACTAAAAATTGCMAAACTAAGAAAAGCCTGCTTAATAAAAGCTCGCAATTGTTCTGACATTTGGAGAGACATAAAGGCAAGGACACAGGGCGTTGCTATTTTGTAGATGTCCCACAACTTCCTGTGCAAAAGAGCAGAAACCCTGCGTGCAAACAACCCCCTTGAGAACAACAGAGCGCCTGTAGCTGCTTATCAGCCATGTTCAAGGCACTCAATAGATGATTTTAAGATGCCATGTTAGAACAGACCACTCACAGATGCGAGTTTAAAAACAGTCTGGGCTCAGACCAAACTTTCTTTGGGATGCTCATTTTCCAATCAGTACAGAAAGCTTAAAATAATTTTCTGTTCTGTCTTTAAAATTAAGAACGCCTTTATTAAGTTGTGTGCAGCTACAGGTCATTGTGGGAATACTATAACTCATCAGAATATAAAGAAGGTATCAGGATAAATTTCATTTTTCTAAATGGTTTGAAAGGTTTTTTTTTTTTTCTTTTTAAGTAGAGTGGGAAAAGGGCAAGGATGCCGCATTTGAGAGTTTATGGTTTTTAGTATTTTCCATCAGCATGAGACAGAGCATGTCTCATGCAAACAACTTGGCTGAAATCTCTCTCTTTCAGGAAACTCAAAGCTGCCTCTGGAGATTCAGCTAGCTGCTCCTCCCCCCTCCCTCGAGATGTTTTATATACTGGTCATTGATCAGAATCAGCAGAGACCAAGGCCTTTGTTTCAGCCTGGAGAGATCCCGTCACACTGTTCCTGTTGCCTTCAGGTGAGGAGAAAAAATATTGCAGTAATAACTGCATTATATTATAATAGTGAGGAATGCAGCATCCTGAGCTGCAGTGGGAAAAATAGATCTTGGGCCTCYTTATCTTGCCCAGTTTTGGCTTGCTACGTGAAACAGCCCTTGTTCTGGTCTTGACCACACAGTCTGCTGACATGATGGAGTTACTGATAAGCGAGTAAGTGTCTGCTAAGAAACCAGGACAAAATCACCAAGYCCAACAGAAACCAGCTCTGGGGAGACCAGCAGCTGCCTACAGTGTGTTGCACGTGGACAAGCAGTTGTCATTTAATCCCAATCCAACTTCATAAAAAAAGGGGAAAAAAAAGAATGGATATTTTCCTTGTATATCACCTGCTCTCACCAAGTGCTCAGGGAAGCAGCATTTCAAGAACTAAGCTATGCAAAGCAACACATCATAGATGGACAGGACCTTCTCTTCCTTAGGGGATATAAAAGCCACAATATCTGCTGGTTTTCTTTGTCCCTTATCAGGTCTATCAAGGTGTCTTGGCCCCAAGCCATAATGGCTGCTGAAGTAACCAAAGTTCTCCAGACAACCGGCACAGCTCGACACAGAGGGGGAGACCTGTTGCAGGACACAGTAATGTGGAGGAGACCAAACTGGGCTTGCCAGGAGGCTGTGGGACAGTACTATGTGCAGCATTATCTCCAAAGTTTCCTTCTCTCCCCAAATCACAGTTCTTCAAGAATAACAAAAACACAGCATAAGGTCCACATTTTCCCTACTGGATTTAATGAAACACCAAGGGGAAAATAGGAAAAGAGACTTACTTGCACAGTAGTACGAATCCTTATTGAAAGGTTTCATACAGTGGTAACAGGTTGCTTGGGCTACAACAGAGGTTGCAGTGAAGAGATGTCCGTTCAGCAGCTTCTTGTCTTTTTCCTTCTCCTTGGACTCCTTGTCTTTCTCTTTAGTCTTCTCCTTCTCTTTCTCCTTTTCCTGCTGAGAGAAAACGAGCAAAAGCTTTGTCACTTTGGAGAGGTTTATTCTCTAGTTACAAATTGTGCAGTGTTTGCCCTCGGCACTATGACAATATYGATCCGTGCACACCTTAACAACAGTCATGTGTCCACATGGCTCTCTGTTAACTAAGTTTCTGGCCCTGTTGGTGCTGGGTTAACGCRGTATCGATTTCCAGAGCCCTCAGCACAGGCAACGTGAAAGCAGAGACGGAGCAGGGTCTGTTCTGAAGGCAACTTTTTTTCTTCCACCCTTCTCTGCACGTATTTGCTTGGGTTAATGACTCACCTATTGCAGCGACTTCGCTAACTTCAAACAACGAACATCTGAACTTCAACACAGAATTAATGTCAAGGCCAACATAAGACTTGTGTTTAGAGGCTGGATTTTTAGTGGAGAAAGCCAGACTCTCTATGACAGTAAGACACTGATGTCAGACTGTCGCCCCCTCACTTTTCTCTGTGACCAGTGGGGACAGCATTTTTCAACAGCTACAGCGTCACACGACCTCAAACGACTGCATGAATCCAAGAGGCTGTGGGGGGAAATGATCTTTCACAAACTCATGAAATGCGGCGTCACGGAAAGGCAGAGGAACAGCAGCAAGACCGTAAGAGACCGTCTCATCCTTCGGAAGCCGCGCTTCAACTGGGCAGCTCTGCAGGCTTTGGAAGGACAAACCAGGGCAGCTGCCTTCTCTCATTTTTAGCAATCTGCCCCTAAGAGGGTAGCTTGGGTGAGATTATGTTGCTCCCTAACAAGCCACCGTCTGAAACTTGTTATAGAAGCTCCAAAATGAGTCCTCATACTCTACCTTTTCTATCTCTACTTGATAGAGAAAATTGCTAAATGTTAAGTTCTGAATACATCTCCTGCAGTATTCCCTGGATTTGGCATCTGCTCAAACAGTCTGTCCTGTGATTTCCACAGAAAGCTCCCCAGAAATAACTCAGATTTGAATATTACTGACTCCTTGTCCTTACATGTCCCACCCTACCAGGACACTCATCACACAACTGACRTCCAAATTTGTATTTTAACTAATTTTAACCAACTGAGGATTTTGCGGTGTCTGGAACCAGAAGCTTAACCAGAAATGAGCGAACGGTTCTGAGAGGTAATTTTTTTGCCTTTTGTTAATTATACAGCATGTGTTCATTGCTTAGTGTTGTTGCAGTAGAAGCCCAAGTATCAGAGAAGGGCAGAGCAGCCTGTAGCAGCAATGGCCATGAGGCAGTTACAGGCAGTAACGAGTTCTGCAGGCCCCAAGAGGGACACTTGAGCCTCCAATGACACAAGTAATTATTAACTCATCATCAGGTTGCCCTCCACCCACAAATTCTCAGGGAAAAAGCCAGGATCAGTCTTTTCCTGCAAAGCCTTAATAAACAAAAATGCTGCTTTATTTACTGCCCCCCCCCCTGCTATTTTGTTCTGCAAATAGATGAAAACRTGACTGCAGGATGGAATAACCTTGGCTGAAGCAGAAAAGCTCCAACTAAGGGTGCTCTGTGGCACACAGACGAGTCCTGGAGCCATCAGCTCTGACCAGGATCCTGTGACCATCTCACACCAAGCTCTGTGCAACCACCAACCTGCCCAAGTTTAACCAAATCCTGCCTGAAAAGGCTCACGAATTAAAACTCTAAAGTTTCATTCTTGGCAGGTGGCACCAAACCGACACCTGGAGTTTGCTCCATTGCCTGAACTGGAGAAGACTGGATGCCCTTGTGAGAAGCTCACCCCGTACTCCAGGCAGATCTTGTGGCTCTCAAAAATGCTGCAAAGAGTTTTACTATCTTATCCTTTAAATGTATCTGATATTCAATGTAAAGTCCAGTAATTCTAAAGGCTGGCATATTAATCACTCTTCAGAAAATCACTGTAAAAAACACTGCCATTAAAGCCAAACTGCCCCAGTGAGAAACAGGAAATGGGGCAGCACCTTTGAGGGGCAAACAGCAAGCTTAGGTGTAGGATGCCAACCTCAGAGATGGTAACACTGAAATGCAAGGCTCAAAACGAGATATATTGCAATATAATAGCTCGTAGGTCTTAAAAAAAAGAAAAAAAAAAAGAGCAAAAAAGAGTAGTTTCCTCTTGTATCAGAACTGCTAACATGACTTAAAGATCCACTTAAGCAGGCATCTGAGCTGGATATTGAAAACCTGCCAACAAGGTGCAGGAACAGCCAGGATGGGGCAAATCCCCTCGGCCTCAGGGCCTGGAACAGCCGCRCGGGCACTGCAGCCTCGGCTCCCGCCTGGACACACCCGCTCAGCTCTTACCTCCCATTCCTTGAGTCCCACGAGCCTCACYGTGATGTGGGGCACTTCGCCCAATCTACCCCACTTCACGGACATGGTCGGGGGGCGCGCGGCTCCGCGCGGGCACTAGCCCATGGCTGCCGCAGCGAGACGCCGAGCGAAAGGAGGCCGGGCTGCGGGAGGCCACTTCCTCGCGGAGGCCGCGCTGCCGCTCGCAGGCCCTAACTCGGGGCGCTGCAAGGGACGGAGGCAGGAAAGGAGGGAGGGCGTTTGTGTCTCGCACGCCGTCTGCGGGCAGCTGCAAGGCTGCAAACGCTGCAGGCGGAGAGGCTGGGGATGAGCCGCCTGCGATGCTCGCRACGGGCAGGGAGGGATTTTAAGCGCGCCACAAGGTTGCTATTAACTCCRCAGGGAACACGGGAGCGCGGCCGGCGGATCTCGCAGACAAAGAGGTGTGGAGAGCTCACCCTGCTCCGCAGCTGGCAAACCCGCGCCGCCTGCGAGCACCGCCGGGCTGCCGGGCCCCGGCGGAGGCACCGAAACGCTGCTGCCGGGGTAAAGCTGCCACCAACTGTGCAAGTCGGGCTCCAGAGAAATTAGTCATTCTAGGCAAATTTTCTGTCATCATTTCCCTGAATCTCTTGACCAAAACCAAAAAAAAAAAAAAAAAAAGTGTACTTTCCTTCCTAGTGGACAGGAAAAGCTTATTTTACACTTTACATACATGGGAATCCATGCACATGGAATGGATTTGAGGAGAGATTCACTGACTAATCCCCAAGTAACACTAAATGTCCACTAGATATGGATAAATTCACACAACGTGTATCAGTAATCCCCATTCCACAGTTAATATTTCATGCATTTTTTTTAATACATCTTTTTACATTTTTAAAGAGTCACTGCCATTGGGAGTGTTCTCTAAAACACTTTCACAGCTAATTGTGGAAAGCGATGCTTTTCTGAAGCCAGGTTTGGCGAAAAGCAAATTTTGTTTGGAAGGGACTTTAAACTTCTCTCTAACAGCTCAGACAAAAGCAGAAACCAACTCCTTCCTGTTTGACTTCCTCTTTCAAGGTTTGTTGTTTTTCTTGTTAACTCTTACAGGTTTTATCTGCCATAACGCTTCTGCAAATTCAGTGTTCCCAAGAACATTTAGGCCAAATGGTTTAAAGGCAGAGCTGAAGCTGAAGCATTTCAGAGAGGAAAAGCCAGAATATTTAGTTTGGATGATATTCTGTCTTGCTATGGTAAAATCATTAAAACCACTGTGTGTTGCAGTTTCTGTAGTGCCCATCATGGCCGTGGTTTTTAAGTACCTCTGGTTTAATCAACACTTTGATGCAATCATGAAACCACCAAAATTAACAAGAYAGCACCTATATAGCAACAAAAGTGGAGCAAATATCTCCACATACGTTTGTCATATTTTCTTACCTCTCCCAGCACGACCTGTTTATGTATGTTCAGTTCCTGCTCTACAGATTGTACAGGCAAGTGCCAGAAGCAACGAGCAAATCCCTAACCATGTTAACAGGCTGGGCACAACGATCCCCAGCTGCTCGTGTGTGGATTGCTCAGAAGTTTCTATATAAACAGATTTTTGCACATCATCCTTTACAGCAGAGAGCAGCAGCTCAGCAGGGTCGGTGCCTCGGGCACGCATTCACTGCAGAGGTTTCCATCAAGAGGAACCATGAGCTGTGACCACTCATTTCATTACCGCGATGGCAACGGAAGGTGACGCAATTTAAAAAGAACATTTACCAAGAGGTAATCGTGCCATTACACTGTACAAAGCCAGCTAGGCTAAAGACACACGACAGCTGAAACAGCCAGGGCTTACATTGGGAAATGCTGAACTCAACTTGGCTCATCGCAGCAAACTGCTCCCCTATGTATTTGCTTCATCCGGCCCTTATTCTATGACAGCCACAGTACTCACTGTACCCCCACAGTGTGTGTCCTGTTTGCTAATTAAAGTCAGCTCAGAACGTTTCATTAAGCTTCTCAGGGGCTTTCCAATAGCATGAGCCAGCATAGGAACCACACATCAGTTAGCTATATAATAAAAACAGCATACTGTGAAGTAAGGCAGCATTTATCTCCTGTCCTTTAAACGTGGTAAAGGGATGTGAGATTTAAGTAAAAGATCCAGCTAAACAAAAAATGCCTAAAATATATTAATTTTGAAGGGTCAATCTAAGGCAACAAATGCTAATCTTTTTTTGAAATATTTAGTAATAATGAAACAATATCTATATACAGGAAATTCAGCTGTGCAGACTGGTGCTGACTGCTTCAGCAAATGAAAGCCTATATTTTCAACAACTGCTTCCAAAATAAATATTTACAATAAAGTACAATAAATATTGGTCATCTCTAAAGGCCATGGTCTGAGCACTCTCTCCACCAGTGCACAGGTACCTTGTGCAAAAGGTAAAAATAAAAGGGAAACACAATATGCCCTTCACATCTAATTTATCTTTATAGCTCTTATCCTTGTTTTATTGTACTCCTCTGGTTCGGTAATAATTAGGCTTTTACAAAAGCCACCTTGCTTTATATCAAGGTGATAGAGGAATGTTTCTACTTCTCATCTCAGCCCCTCTCCAGGCTGCATACTGAGAACACGCAGGTGCTACAGGAATTGCGAGCAGGGATGCTGCAAGCACTTGGAGATTCACAGAGGGAACTGTTGCGGATGCCTCCGAGCCCGAGAAATGATTATTTACACAAAGAAAAGTACCRACAACGTGGCTATATAAATTACAAGTAGCACTTACTTTGCTCTTCTTGCTGCTGGACATTTTATTCCTGAGGTAGCTGAAGGTGCGACTGACTTTTGTTCCACTTTTGCTAGAGGGGACACTGGTGTTCTCTTCAGATATGCTAAAATCAAACAAGAGAAGAGGTTGGTTTGATTTGCCTCCTAAAGCATCTATTAAATAAACTGATGCTTTTTTAAAGCACAAATGCATTTTTACTCCTCGTTTCCGTATAGTGTTATATGAAAGATGATAAAGTAAAAACAAAATGCCAATCAAGCCTTGTCACATGTTGCAAGATATCCTCTATCTATTTTTAAGTAATCTTCACTCTCCATCCATGCCATAGCACCCTCTGCTGCTCCAATGGCCAAATAACTACTAAACTTCTGCCAACAACACAAAATTCATATAAACCAAAAGCAAAATGACAGAAAGATGAAGTCAGAGTGGAAAACAGGGCTGAAAACAGATCAAGAGCACCAGTTGTCAGGAAGCACACCTGAAAGTATCAGAAGTGACACTAGAAAGTAAGGCACATGCCAGACACCCAGCTCCTTTGGTGCCACAAATGCTGCCCCTCTTCCACAGGCAGGGAAGGGCTTTTAAAGCCAGCACCCATCACAAAGATAATCTTCTTGCTACAGCTTGCAAGGATGYAAAGTACCTTACAAAAACACGATCAATTTTGCCTCCATTCTAAGAATACAGAGTKAAGTGTAAGGAGTAAAAAGTACTTGTTAAACTATAGAATATAACTCCTGCAACACCAACATAATTTAATAATATATAATATGAATTTTTATTGTCTCTGAATAAGCACAAAGCCTTAAGAATTGTTCACTGTTAGAGATAAGGCCCTCAAGAGGCAATCTTTCATATTCTGTGATATAAAATATTCTTTAGCTTTTACAGAGGAATGGATCTTCACAAGTCTCGACACTTGCAAATGCAACAGAGGGTCACTGGAGCTGGGAAGGCTTTAGTCTTCCAAATCTGGGCACACTGCAGGAGTTGCCAGAGGGTATTGCAAGCCTAGGAAGAGAGGGTATCACCAGGAGATACCGTACCTTTGAAATGAAGAGTTGCTGGGGCCGCTGAACTGCCGCGTAGCTGGAAAAGATGAAGGGATGGGAATTGAAACGTTAGCTTGCAATCTTAGCTCATTGCTTTTAAAAACATAGGTTAGAAAATGTTTATCAGCAGGTGAATGCTTAAAATAGATATAATTTGCTAGAATAAAGACCATTCCCCACATCCTCAGGTGATTTTGAATTAGACACCRAGGTGAAAGACTTCTTAGTAGTCTCATCATTCATCAGCTGCTAAGCAGATGATGTGAAACTGTTATCTTTGCTAGCAAACTAGGGTATATGATTCAGAACTGCCAATTTAATGACAATAGATATAAATGAGAGCCATTCTGCCACAATACTTTTATTTATGCACCAACAGAAAGAATCTATTGTGCAACATATCCGAGTTTCATGTATAAAACATTTTTGCATGATAAAATTATAGTTCATTTTCCCATCAAAATCCTGAAGCACTTCATAAAGAGTAAGAGAAACAAGAGGAGCCTTATTCCGTTTTCCACAAACCGTCTCAGACTTCGAGCTTAGTCACACAAAACCGAGCTTGAGGAAAGTCTGACTTGCTAGAGGCAGCTGAAGCGCTGCCAATGACACAATTTCTTTATACAGCAAGAAACCTGCTTGCATAATGCAGATGGAGCAGAGCAGGGAGCTGATACCATTTCCCAGAACCATTCAGGAACACTGAAAAGAGCTGATCCAAAGGGGAGAAGATTCTCAGTGGGGTAAGTGGGTTTGCCAAGACTCTAAAACCCCCCTCGCAAACATTATTTACACAAGAAGCAGCTTAACTGATCGCTTTCTTGGGCTTCTGCCTATGTATTGCAAGAAAAGCAGTACTTTGGCTTTGACTTGTGTGAAGATGTTAAAGCTATGGGTGAATGCAAAAAGCCGCTTGGCAACAGAGGAAAAGACAGTCCTTTGTCCAAAAGTAGTATGAGCATTAAGAAAATCTCTACAATATTATGCCTTATTATTCTAATATACGTATTTTCCTACATGCTGATCTGAGTCCTGGAAAAGCCGGAGAATGAAATATCAATTCTTCACATTGAAAAACCTAAAGGATTGGCATTTCCTCATTACTAGCTAAATCTTTCATCTAACTAAAGATCTAGCTCAAATATATCAGCTATTAATACTAAAACATACATTGAATAAAAAATATTCAGTTTTATGCTGTTTTGCTGTTTATACTTTTTTTTTTTTTTTTAATATATGTATATATATGTTGTCTACCATCTAAGTACAGAAACAGGCCACACAAGGAAGTTACAGACTTCTGATTTCTGTCCCTGGTGAACAATCTGCCAATTCTGCTTCATGTATCTGCACTAGTTTGCTTTAAGCATCCTTAGTTTTTTCTTTTTTTTTTTAATAGATTCCCCAGTTTAGCTGGATCTAAGCATTTCACAAACCTTTCTGGTTCTTCGCAGTTAACAAAGTGAGAAAAACAAAAGGAAGCAGAATGAAGACTCATCGTAATTTGTTGTTTGCTTTCAGCACCTTGAGAAAGTACCTTGCCTGGGGACTTTGATTTTGTGCTATTTATTTTTCCTGTGATAGTGCTTTATCACAGAAATGGGGGACTCRACACTGACAGGCAAAACAGATACAGACGTTAATCAAGTTGAAAGCCTGTTTATTGTTTTGAATTTTAAGTTACAATATTGCATTATAGGATCAACATGCAGCTACAAGCTACAAAACCCATGAAGAGGAGCATAAAATAGAAGGTAATTTCTCACCTTCTGGATTTTTTTTTTTTAGGGTGGGAGGCAGCAAGGAAGACTTATTTCTTTTGCTTCATTACCAGGTTCAAAACTCCAATATGAAAACCAATCCATGGCCAGATTTCATAACTCACAAAATAAGTTAATTCTGTAGGAAATTCAGACCTGCTATGTGTGTCCAACGAATCTGAGTTAGCAGCCAAATTTTGGTGTACTTATTTGAACAGCATTTGAACACTACCCAACAAAATTATTTCATATGGTAGCTGGAYTTGAAGTAATTCATCAAGGTTCTTTAGGAAAAAAGACACAGCAGGACTAGCAGACTGCAAGCAGAAAAACAGCCTGCAGCTCCTTAATTCTGGCGGTAATTAAACTTCTGGGTGCCAAGAAATGAGGAGGCTTGAAAATAACCATCTACCATTTTCTAAACTGCACAGCCAGGCTTGTCAAGCCATCTGAAATCTGCATCTTCAATACCCAATATTGAACAAACTAACCCTCCATACTCGAGAGAAGCAGCTGGGGCATGGACACATTGAAGAAACATGATTGAAATACAAGCTTAATCGGAGGGCAAATGCATCCAACTTTTTACGAGAAATGAACCCTAAAGACATGGAAAAAACTATAAGGTCCAAGATTACTGCATGAAAAATACCCATTGTCAAAGCATCTTATGAATAGCTGTGGTGAAGCCAACCTTATATAAAGTGACCACAGCACCCTCAAATAAAACACATGCAAAGAAGGCAACTTTTTTGAGACAGTATCAGACATCCCTAAAAGCTCATCTGTAACAGCAGCACTGCTGAGGAACAGCAGATAAATACTGCCTAATAGAAACAACTGAAAAAGTTGTTAAACCCCGAACTGCCTATGAGGACTTGTCAAGTGGTGGGCTGGTTACAAGATAAAGTAAATGAAAATATCAAAACAGGTCGCATGACATGACCCCAAAGGAGAAGACGACTTTCTTGTACCATGAAGCAACTGCACAATCAAGAAAGGAGATGGAAAGGAGAAGCAGATACCTACAACAGTATGCACATCACACAATACCATGCACAGTGGATGGTATGGAGAGGGTTTTTTGTCTCTTTTTTCAGTTAGGGAAGCTACTAAAACCCACAGGGCTCGAAAGGAATATCCCTCATGCCAATACGGGCACCAAGATAGGGGCAGGTTTCATTGCAAATCTTTTATTAGAACCAATACAGTCATTCTGATTTTTCACTACAGATAAAAGACAACCATCTTCTCACTTATCTTATTTCAGCATTCTAATAAAATCTATGAAAGAGACAGGAAGCACTGTCAGTATCTCTTATGTGCCTATTAAAAAAAGAGGAGGATAATAAATGATCTTAATTCAAACTTGGCTTTCTCTGCTTGGCTTTCTGCTAACAATGGAGCAGGGAAAAAAAGCTACCATATAATACTCTCCATGCCAAAATTATTCGATTAATATTGTCTAGACCTAGATAGTGAACACCTTGGAGATTTAAGGTGTTTTCTCTCCAATGTGATGTTTTATGCTCAAGACAGTAGCAGTAAAGTCGTAACCAAGATTCTCAGACTTCAATTTTGGGGCTTCTCTCTCTCCTGCTCTCACCAAGCAACGAGCTCTTGCACATGGAGGGCAAGGATCTCTGTCTTCTCTTAAATCCATGTACTGCAATAATCTCCAGACTATTATTTTGCTTATAATAAAAAAGTAATGAAAATATCACCAATTACAGCAGTAGATGATAGCACTCATCAACTGGATAAGAACCAGCACTAACTAGATGAGATGAAGGTGCTGATGGACAAAGTATTTTGGATTATAGTTACAATCCTTCTATTCTGCCCTTTGTTAGCATTCACATACACAACTRAGATAATGCTGTTAGACATCATGCAACAGGGCAGTTAGCTTAATGTTTGCAAGGTAAAACTGGAAGGTTTAGAGCAGAAACCCTGGTTCCCCCTTGCTTTCACCCATACTAGCTGCAATGCACAGAAAATGATTACTTACTATCCAGCTCCTCCTCCTCATCACTGGAAGAAGAGCCAACAGAAAAGAGAGTTTTAGACTTAGGAATGAGCGGAGAGATGCTGAAGGAGAAGGAGATTCGTCTGGATGGTCGAGTCCGTCCCAAGGCTGAGAAGTGGGTTAACAGTAGACATTAGAGCATGCTTGAAAATGCGTTTAATAATAGAAAGGAGAGGAAGGAAGCCAAAGCAAACTAAAACCAAGCAAAAGAAACGTCTGCAAAGCAGCTGGCTTCTGAAAAGGCACAAGCAAAAAGAATGCAGGATGTGCAGACTTCAGAGGATGCCCTGGTTTCAGTGCTAGGTTCACCACTTCCCTTAGCTTTGCTGGTATCTTCCTGCAGGAACTCTTAATGAAGACGTGCATGTGAATAGTTGKTTTCCCAAAGCAATAAGTTAGTCGGTCTCTGGTCAAATGATATCTGTTTCACTGGAATAACTGCCAGGGAATCAAACTACAGCAAAAACCGGGTATTTGTTTAATGGCACTTTTCTCAGTTAAATTAGCCCCTGAGGTCTGGGTGCAGGTAGGATACCCTTCCTGAAATGTTGACCTTATTCATGTGGACAAGTTCTTGACACTTGCACCCCTAAAGACACTCTGTTTTGCTCATGTTAGGCTTCCAACTTTAAAGCTAAGTGGCCTAAACTCTCTTTTCTTCCCAAAAATAAAACAGAAAAGAATGAGCATCTCTTCTGCTGCCTTCTTCTGAAATTTGTAGTCCTTTTTTCTAGGACTGTAGTCCTTTTTAAAGAAACTGTTTCAATAGGGGAAAAGATCCTTTGCAGCTTGTTCAGTCCTCTCCACGWAAGGAGTCTGTCAAACAGAGTGCCGAATTCAGCAGTTTGTGACATAAAATCTCCCACTAACAACAGAATAATGAAAACAATTTCAAGTATATTTTCTCAAATATGTTACTACTCTTCTATTTATTTCAATATGTGAAATTTTATTTATCTGCTAGTACTGCTAGCACCTTTCCAGAAATTCCTGGTATTTGCCCATGGCCTCTCCTAAAAACTTTACACATTAAAAGGGGTTTACTTGAACTGCTTTGTAAAAATCATTTTTAAGAGAGTTTGCAAGGCTGTTGCTATGTAAATAGAATTATTTACAAGTATGGCTTTCTCTGAAAAGAGATGTAGAAACCTACCAACCACTCTGCTTTTAACTGAAATTGCTGCATAATTGAATAAATAGTATTTGAGTGGTATTTTATATGTTTTCTTAGAACATGTCTGATTCTCTAGCAGATGTGTTTAAATTTTTTTTCAAACTAAAAATCTACAGCACACACATGCTATGGGCAGGCCACATAAGCTATTATGGAGATCCCTGAGGGGATCAAACCTTCACATCATTTGACCCAAGACAGCAACTTCCAGCCTGAAACCCAGCACATGTCCTCTTGGCCACATACAAAGAGCAGCTTTTGCATTGCTGGTAGCTTAGAGCAAAGCTGAATTCCAAAAMCAAAGATATTAGCTGAGAAATATTCATGCAAAGCATGCAACGCCAAGCAAATCTCTCCTAAAATTTTCCTTCAGTCATTAGTAATAAGCAGCAAACTCCTCCAGGGATTGACTAAAATTGTGTTCACACTTATTCTAACTTCATCACCTAATGCAGCACACTCCTAGAGAYGGACCCAGCAGAAGACATTTAAATTGAAGAATTCTTAGTAAGATTCAGATGCCCATTTTGTTTAGACTGTTTCCACCAGAGCTATTCTACTGTCCCAGGACACGACTGGAAAACACCCTTTTCTTTCTTCTGCAGTCTAGTCTGTATCTATTTAGACTAAAAGTCAAGATGAACAATAACACTTCACTGTAAATAGAACCATGTCCTCCAGCACAGTTCAGTTCAACTTCCATTTTGGCRATTTTATTTATAGCAGTTCCTGGCTTTATAACAATGCTCCACACTGGAGATTTGCTATTCTAGAACTGAAATCAATCTTCCAAATGCTCCAGCCAACAGCTCTTGTGACCTCCCTCTACGAAATGCTAAAGCAGCAGCAGTTGTGAGAGGCCACAGCTACTTCTGGAGACAAGGAATGAAGTGTGGGCTAGAAACCCGTTCTTGGAAGCTGCTCCCATCTCGGTACCTATGACAATACATCGGAAAGACAAGGGAAAGCTTTCCATATATTTACTCAATTGGATTTTATTTTTGAAGCTTTGCTTTGTGCATGTTGCTTTTTTTTTCATCCAGACATATTTGCAAGGGTCAAGGATTATTATTACTTTTTTTAAACATCTGACATAAAATTATGCAAGCGAAATAAAGAAACACAGACAACTAAAAGTTTTCCCCAGAATTTATCCCAAATACACCAAAGATTTAGTCTTGCATGGCTTTTAGGTATTCTGCTTAATCCATGCAGAATCCATGACCTGAATTTCCGATGCGAGTAATGCTTTTGGATGCTTCCCTCAAACCACCTTCCTACGAAAGAGAGACCTTGCAGAGGTGTCACAAATCAGCTACTGAGAAAGGCAAGCACACAGAAACATTAGTCTTCTAAGYATCTATGTCCACAGCTAAAAGATGTCCTTCTCAAACCACTACAYGAACCTTGCTAGTTCCTCCACAGTATCCATAGATACTTTAATACTTTCTCTTTTTTCCGTTTCTCACAAAGAGACCATTGTGCTTAGGCTGGCATTAAAATAGGAGGATAATCACCTTGATGGCACTTTTCATGTGGACTATGAGACAGAAAAATTGCAGAAAAGTTGGAATTTATCTGGTCCCAAGATGGTGGTACAAATCCTGCATTGCTGTAGTCTCCTCTGCGAGGTTCCTCTTTCCTAAAGGAAAGTCTCCAGCAAGAGGGAGGAAAGCAGCAGCCTGCCAGGCTCCCTAACCACYGCGAGAGCCTGTTTGCTGGAAATTAGCTGAGTTATTTATAGTGTTTGGTTAGCAACCAGAAGCACTGCCAATAAATTGGTTGCTTAAAAAAAATAATTAAGGCCTTCAGCACAAGGAGGAAAGAGGGTGCGCCATCATATAGAGCAAAATCTGATCTTTTCATGGGATAAGTTTGCCAGTGTTTTGGTTACTGTTGCTGGGGGACACATTCGTTAGGCCATGCTTATTAATCACAGAAGATTCAGGGCAAAGAATTGAAGTGTCTCCTACATAGCCCAGTCTCTGTGAGCTTCTTCCAGCAAGCTTCCTAAATGACTAAAACACTTTTCTTTAAAGTAGCTTTTCTCATTAAGCTTTGCAGAAGCGATTTTTCAATAGAGCTCCATTTGCATCTGATGCTTCCATTAAAGTTTATGTTTTGGCATTCATTTCCGATGCGCAGTACCAGACTGAATCTGCATGGCAAAACTCATCAAAAACACACAACCAGCAAACAAACCCATCTGCTAACTCCAGTGRGAGATGGTTGGTTTCCTGACCACAAAAACAAAACAAAAAAGCTGGTGTTTTCATTTGTGGGACGAGGAAGAGCGCTAATTGCAGTGTACAGACAACCATGACCCTGCACCTATAATTGCATGCAAGAGCCCAGAGATGGGTATTACATAACTGCAAGAAAGCAGTTTGTTAAGAAAGAGGAAAAGATCAGAGACCGTTACTGACCAATGAGATGTGATCGAAAAAATAAATCTGTTTTTGGGGTGATATTTAAGAAAATGAAAACATGTGCAGCATGGCCTTTCCTAAGCACATGCAGCTGCAGCCTTCTGAATGGCTCAACKGGAAGAATAAACCCTGTGAAGCTGCAAAATTAAATGCTTGTTGTTGCATCAATTAAGCCAAACTAAACAGAAGAACTCCACTTAATAATTTTTTGTTATTTTCTTCAGGAATGTGATTCAAGAAATTATGCCTGTCTGCCTCAAAATAATTATTTCAAAATACAGAAAGAGCAACAAGCTCCCTCAGTGATACCAAGGCATGCATTCTCAAGTTTCTATATCTCAGCTTTCAAAAATCCAGAATTAGGAAAGCTAGAAATCAGGCAGGATTTATCTCAATAGCAGAGGAAGCAATTCTGAAAGGATGTTAAATTCAAACAGAAGTTTTCTACTTCTCAACAAAGTCAATAAAWCATAGTTTTAATACTGGTCTAATTAAGAATAGAAAAAAGAAACAACAGAACTAATAACATCAGAGAGATGCCACCAAGAAGGAAATAAGGATACAAACTAAATAAGATCTGCCTATCTACCCACAGATCCATGCAATAGCAAGCATCTATATTTCACATGACGCGTGAAAGAAAGAGCAGGTACTAATAGTTCTGCCTTGGGAAGGTAGCAAGAGATGCTTAATAATACCRTATATGGAAAGGATAAGGATAATGGAAAATTTACTTACTGTCCAGCACTGGTTTACTAATTGCCATTAGAGACAAAGATTTGGTCAGTGGAGAAGAAACAGCAGAAGCACAGAAATTAAATCCTTGTGGCTGTGATCTTTGATTCATCTGAGGAAAAAAAACAAAAGAAAACCACTGAGCAAACGTGTCAAGCTCAATAGCTTCGTGCCCATTATGGGTAACAGTTCAGGCCTCGTGTTGACTGAAATTCACACTAAAAGTCAAACAGCAGAAAACTTAAACAACCAAGAACACTTTTTCCTGAATGAGGTAATAGGTGAGAAAGGCAAGGACTACAGAAAATAGAAGTGGAGCTGCAGGAGTGAAATGCAACATTGTTCCTAGAGTGAAAAACCACTAATTACTGAAGGAGCTGGAGCGGGGCACTGTTTCCTTCTCAGGCAGGCTATTACTAAATTTATCTTGTTAATKGCCTGTTGGCTCCTGAAACTATCTTCTCTCTAACCTAGACTTTACCATTCAACACGGTAAAAATTTAGATGCTCAACAGGGTGCTCCCCAAAATGTCTTTCCTCAAAGCATGAAACAACGGGTCATGGACATACCAGGTCTTGCTGGTCACATCTTGCASAACTCATTTAATGCTTTGATGGATGGCTGCAACTCTCCTAGGTAAACAGACCTGCTGGCTAACTTACATTGCTGATATGTACCTAGAAAGCATTACTGCTAAACCATTGAGCYCAGAAACATCATTAAAACATCTAACTCTACAATTGCTTCTTTAATGAAAACAACAATAACAACAGAGATTCTTAGAATATTTAGGCTCATCTGTCCTGAATACTTATCATAAACTTCTGCTTGAAAGAGATCACACTGGATTTACACAATATTCCCTTAATCTTTTGCTTAACTATTGCTTATAACAACATGCCTTTTGGATTTAACTAGGCCTATGAAAGCAAAATTTTCTTTATTTTCTTCAACAGTACGAAAACAAATCTGAAAACTTTAACTCAACACTTGGGACTTGTAAGTATTACAGATCTGCAAAACCTGCATAAACATTACCTGATGAAGCCTTAAAATACCTTTACTCACAGTGTCACTATAGCCATGCTAGAAAGTTAAGTTCAGGCAATTAGTGGAAGAAAACTGGCAAGTTCCTTATTCTCCATCCTTTTACGGATGTTTATCCAACATGTTGACCCAAATGATCAAGTAGTTAATTTGACCAAAGTGGAAAATTTCTGTATCAAAGATGAAGACTTAAATAATACTAATATATTAGCATTTCATGACTTTGACTTAAGAGTTTTCTAAAAACCTATTAATAGCTGGCCAGCTTTACCTGGTGATCATAGTCTCTGACTTCTCCCTGCTCCAGTTCTTCAGTGAGAGACACCAGGGAGCCGCATTCATCGCTGGCCAGCGGACTTCGTCGGAGATCTTTGGAGCTCAGAGAAGACGTCTCCAAGCTTGCTGAGGGCTTCTTKTTCTCACCAGGGTCCCCAGTAAGGCCTTCTAGGCTGTAACTGAAGAAAAAAACAAATGGGTTAAATCCCAACCTGTTCTCACATTCTACTGTCTTCCTTGCCATGGGGCCTTCAAGCGTGCAACAGAATGCAATCCCTAGCTGAACCATAAAGGGAAACACTTATGTTATTCCTCAGTGTTTTACTTCTCAAGGACCAAGTGCAGGTGGCAGTGGAGGGATTTGTCTTTACATCTACTTCAGAACACAGAGTAGCATCTTTGTGTCTCCACTGAGATATTAGGGTTGCTTGGGAATAACCATGCAAACTCCTGGGTCGTTAGACTTTTCCGTATTTTTCTCCTGATTGACAGGTGCAGAAGAAAATCCAGGATCACTCTTTGAAAGATGGTGATATTTCTACATACTCCGTTTTCTTGGCTTTACTAGTTTCCCCTTGAAATATAGCCACCCAAATTGAACTACCCGCTTTGCCCAGTGCTGCCTGTACTTGGAAAGCACAGGCACGGAATAAGCCCAGGACTGACTGCAACATTCTTCTTTGCAGACCATCCTCTCAATCTGTTTAGCACTTGTCACTGCAAAGGCTTTAGCACTGATAATGCTCTTCTTATGGTGAAAGCTGGTTTCTTTTTCCTTTATTTTTAACCCCCCTAATTCAATAAATGTGTTTCCACTAGCCAATCAGTCCTAACATCATTTTCTTATAAAGCTAAGTCTGTCCAGTAAAGCTAGACAAAATCATTTTAAAACTAAACAAAATAAAAAACTCTTGCTTGCAGAACTGGCAGATATTACATGTTTGGCCAATCTCTGTCTGTAGACAGTTGCTGAGGACAGACAAGTGATCTCTACAGAAAATAATGCTAAATGCACTCTAAAACAAGGTTTCACATGTCGTTATTGCCACCTGATGTTCCCTCACCCTGACCCTCTGCTTCTGACTTTCCTCGTCACTGTGGCCAAGCATTGACAAACCCATTGCAAGTCCAGTTTGGGGTTAAGGTGCCAGCTTACAGATTCACCTCCAGATACGCTAGCACATCTATGTCAGGAGGGTTTGGTTTGAAGCATGGCCTACCCTAAATATATGGACAAATCCATCTCAGCTTCAAGTAATCATGAAATTTGAGTCGCCAAACAGCCAGCATTCAAACAAATTTAAAATAAAATAAAATAAAATAAAATAAAATAAAACAAAATAAAACAAAATAAAACAAAATAAAATAAAATAAAATAAAACAAAACAAAACAAAATAAAATAAAAGCCTCTACACCTTAAACCAGAGTTGTGTTTTAAATTCAGGTAGACTTGCACAATAGTTACTAATGTTCTACATTTCATTAGAAGTACTAAGCGGTTGATAAATTTATCTTCAAAGCAAAAACTGCAATAAAACTTGAGTAAGAAGATTTACTAAAGACTTTTTCATGTTAGTTAGCGTGAAAGAGACTGGCTGGGGCACTTAGAGTTTAATCTATGTTATGAAGATTTTAACTCAACAGTCTTTTATCAGTAGCAGATTTTATATAGATTATTCTAAAATACCTGCACAGTGAAATCAGTCCCCCTTCTATTGATTATCTAGGACACAGGAACAATTTTTAATTCTAGCCCAAAGTAACTATGACATCAAAGAAAACAAAACAAAAGAAACAAGAAAACATGCAGCTTGCTGTGACACAAATAACTTTGCTCCAAACTTCAAATATTATTATGTTGCCCATCAATTTGCCATCAACTGGTCATACTGGCCTTGTTAGTCAGGGCATCTAGACCAAATTCGAATCCATTCTGCAACTTCAAGTGCAGATTATCTTCTTTTTAAGTACCTAGTCGTCAGAAAGAGTTGAAAGGCTCTACCCACAACCAGCAAGAAGTGCCAGAGGAAAAGAGAAGCTATCAAGTCTAGGAGACAGACCCGCAGTTATATTAATGCGCATTATCAGGAAAAGATCTGACCTGTAAGCATTAATCCCAACACTGGGGCTTTTTACAGACGCTGCGTATTTTAAATGTCTGGGAAATTTCCATGTGTGGCTATCAGATCGTTTTCTTCACAGAAGGTTTTACATGATTAGCCTCTTTGAAGAAGAAACTAGAGCTTTCAATTCACAAAGAGCAAGTCTGTATGAACTTAAATCCTTTATAAGACACGTCCAGAACAAAGCAGCCCTGAATCACATTAACTCTCACTTTGATTACTTGGCTCTCACATTTATCATTCTGATCATCGCTGCTGCAAAATACAGGGAAAACAGCAACTCCAACCCAACAGTGCAGCTTCTTTAACACTCAGGCCAACGGAAAGCAGCCACCTTCACCTGCACCCGTTTTTAGAAGACCCGTTTCCAAGCCTAATTGCCAAAAAAGCAGCCAAAGCAAAAACACACGTGCACGCTGCAGCCAGAGCAGTGGAGAAAAGGCCTAGGCACGAGAAGCTGACAACACAGGCTTTGCAGTGCTCCTTTGCTGCATTCATAGAGTGCGATTATACCGTACCTTCTACAATTAAAGTCAGGAGCCATGGGAATGAACTGTACGCCAGAGGGACACCAGCTCAAACTGGGAACATCAGGGAGGGAAAGAAAGGAAAAGGGCTGTGATTATTGGACTGTTATGGAAAAGGGTCAGTGTTAAAAGACTCTCACTCACGCTTGTCTTTAGGATAAAACACACTCACGCAAATCACCGCAATAGGTAATATCGATTTCTGGCTGTCAGAGCACACCAGATTCCTCCAAATGATGGAGGTCCCTGGTCACCACTGAATGGGTGGAAACGCAGCTCAGGCTTCCCTCAGACTCATCCCATCAGTGGGTGCTCAATGTACTGGACAAACTGCTCCTCATGAGGAGACACGTTTTGAGGGAAAACAGGACCAAACACACCAAAGCCAAGTTTGCACTAGGAATCCCATAGCTRTTATGTTAGTAATAATCAGCATTTTTCCAGCATCTCTCAGGTTTAAACCCACTGCTGTGCATGTTTTTTTCCCACTACCTTGTATCCTTTCCACAACATGACAGCACAGAAAAAAAATTAGGAGGCTTTGAGGGTGAGAATACCAAAAATTGCTACTTGTTTTATCAAGGATGTTAACTGGGTGAAGACACATCTAAAGGACTCTGCACACYACAGATCAGGGTAGTCTTCATGAGCAGCTTTCAGCACACTGCCCTGAACACTCTTCGTGAAGACAAACTTGCCCATAACATTCCAATGCTTCAAGGGCCATACAAAACTACTGCTCCTACTAAAACACATGGTAGAGGAAAGTATTAGTGAGGGATGGGGATTACATACTTTCTTGAGGTCATAAAAGAAATAAGCCTTCATGGTCGCAGTACACCTATCTGCATGATACACGCTTCCAGCAGCGTGTTAGGAAATTACTTGAGCAGAAGTAGGTGAGGACTAAGACAGGAACACAGGGAGGGATCAACCCTGCTCCCTGGCCACCTGCTTACGGCCACAAGAATGGGCAGCTAGATAGACTCTGGTCTCATCCATTGGAGGTGCTCTTGCACTAATTTCCTTTCACTGATTTGGTTGCAGGAGTCAGTAATTCTGGTGTGTACTTAGAAATGGAAGGAGARAAAAATTTCCTTGTTGAGATCATGCAACGTTTACCCTCAATAGTGTATTTGTAAAGGTGAATCTGTTCCTGACTTGCCACTTTACAGTGACAATCTGAAAGCTCAAGCAGCAGGGAAGGAAGGTGGATGACAGGAGAGGGGGGAGATGGAGGCAGAAAGTGAGTGCCCTGCAGGAGGAGGTCTGAAGTGGTGGGAGATCTCAGAGAGGGACAAAGACCTCTTGGCAAGAACTATGGAAAACAGAGATTTACAGAACCATCATCCTGCTGATGAGCCACCCACAACCAATTGGCAACTCCATAAAAACGGAGCGGAGGTCATTGTACAGCAGAAGAGCCCTCTATAGAAAATGTAGCCTTTGGAGGGGCGGTGTGAGGGAGAGCTRTTATATACAACAGCCTTGATGAGACTAGAAATTGCTGGGATCAGCTTCAGGCTGTCACTCTGCAACAAGTGTTGGAGGGGATGATATCAAAATGCTTGGGAGGCCAGAAAAAAAAGGAAGAGAGAACGCTTATGAAAGAATTATCATAAATTTGCAGAAATTACTAGGTATTTCCCATTGCCTATTTGCGACATAATTCTTGACGATGTGTCTAAGTTCAGTGTCTCAGACTTGACTCAAGACTCCTCTGTTGGAACTATGTGAGTATTAACATAAAAATAGCAAAAAGAGGCTCATTTACATGAGCTGGGAAGCACTGCACTTCTTCCTACAGAGCGGGGTGGGATGCAAATAGACTGGCTTCAAAGAAGTCAAAAACCATGTTTTTTCTTGTGCCCTTCCTTTTTTTTTTTTTTCTTCAAGAGGCCTCCCCTGAACTGTATGGCACTCCTCGTGAGCCTGCATTGATGCAGATGCATGGTAAGGTCAGGGTGACATTTTTTCCGTATGTGAAGATAGGGATGTTTGTTTCCATATCTAGGTAGCCTAGAGCAATACTCCAGGTAATCCCACCCATTTCAAGACAAAAGAAATATTCCAATAATCTGACACAGGAGGGCRGGTGCAGGCTGTGGGCGATCGCAGAGGTTCAGCCATGGAAGGAGCGAAGTTAAACTTAAGTATATAAAAGTAGGCCTCTAAGTCAGAAATTCTCCTTCCTATGTTAACAGATAGCTCTAAGGTTAAGTGTATGAAAACCTTACAGGAAGGACATGGAACTGAAAGTTAACCCTATGGAAGGAAACAAGGAAAAACATAGAGAAGCAGAAATGCTTATTTTCTATATATTTTTTTAGGAAGATCGTTTCAAAAACAAGAGTCATCACCATCTGTGATGACCATCTGCAGGGGATTCTCTAACTTAGAGCTCCTTCCCTCAGGTGTCCACCCTGCAGGGCTTGCTACTGGTCTCTGACGTGCTTTAAATAAAAGCTGAAAATATGTGTTCAGCTAAGCAATGATTTCAATACGACTTCAAATCTTACATGTGGAAAAGCCCCACGAAACAATGCTCAAGCTTTGTCAAAGCACCAGCACAGGGCCCTGCGGGAAATGGCTTTCCCATGTGCTCTACAAGTCATAAAAATTGGCCCATGTGACAGTAGGGAGGGAAAGTGGCCCAGCTGGATGCACAACTCCATAAAAAAACTGCCTGGAGAGGCAGGGACCAGCCTCACATTAGCTGACGTGATGGTATGGGGTTAGTAGACATTCAAACATAAAATGGTTAGTGAAGTTAGTTGGCTTTGTACCTTCTCCTATGAATGGGAGGCTTCTTTATACCATCCCCCAGAACTCGCATTGAACTGAAAATGAATCATGGACAGTGGTCAGCAAATCGAATGGAACAAAACGAACAAAYGACAGCTGAAGAATTACTATCCCCAACACACAAATAACAGATGGAATGGAAATGCTACAGAAAATACAAAATGAAGTACTAAAGGAAGAAAAGAATCTCTCTCTCATACCAATTCTTTTTTTTTTTAAACAATAAAAAAAGGTTGAACAGGTACTGTCAGTGCTGCAGCCCAGCTGCTGCCAAACCCAAGTCAGTTTGAAGTTTAGATTAGGACAAACTATTTGACAGCAGCTGTTAACAACCGTGATTAACAATGGCTTCAGTTTTGCAGTGTTTGGTCCGTCAGAGAAAAATGCAGCCATTTCTTTTCCCAGCCATGAACATTAACAATGCTGCACTGTTGTTAAGAGAGAGATACTTAACATCCACTATGAATGTGAAGAATTAGCCAAGGATGAACATCCCTTTTGTGGCAGCCTTGCTGGTTGTCTTTATGTCTTTAACACAAAATGAAGACATAAGGACTGTCCAGTAAGCAGGTATGAGGAAAGAGGTGTAGAAGGAGGGAAAATTCTCACATTTTGAGATGGCTGGATATTTAAAATAGTTTCTGTGAAAAAGATTTTATGTTCCGCCTCTTACCAACAGAAAACCTGTAACACCAGGAAAGATCATATCATACAAAATGTGGCTTTCAGGTGGGCTCCTCCGTCCTACACCAGCAGCTCTGTTGCAGCCTGACTCAGCTGCCTCCGCAGGAGGAGAGACTTTTGAGGGTTGTACAGGGGCTGGAGCAGGCTGAAAGCTCCACATTTCCATGGGAATCCCATTTTATTTGGCTCATTTAGCAGCTCTTGTAAAAGGCACCGTGAATCCCGTCCACATCCTGGCCGTGCAGTCCTGCCCCTCTCCTTGGGTTGGTTCTGGTGGTGATTCCACCTTTGTTGGTCAAGCTGCTTCTCCGTTAGTTTGGCAAGCTGAAGGGGCACAGAAGTGGTGGGCGGGCAGGTCTGACAGGACAGACCTTAGATAAGGCTTGYACTTCACGTGGCTGCACTTGAGGTTTTCACAAGCCAAACTACAGTAAAAGCTATTCCCCATTAACTGGAAAGGTAGACACGAATGAGAGAAATGCCCAGACAAACATTCCAACTTTAATCTGCATAAGGGTCACTGGTATGGGCTTCCCTCCTGATATACTTCATGCCCACTAAGCAACACAGTCAACACCACAATAGCCATGTTTGAGAATAGAGAAAAAACAAATAATTCGTATTTCTTGGTATCAAAAGCATGAAAAAAGCAGGAAAAAACAGCAGCTAAGACCCATACAGCTTTTCTTTTCTAATTAATCTGTGTGACAGCTAATCTTATGAAGTGGCAGCTGTATCTGAAAATATATGAGAATAATTACCGTTCCTTTACTCAAATTATCTTACATTTACAATAGATGTAGTTTCCCACATCATAAATTGCCTCCAAACTCTGATGTTGAAGAACTTAACTCCATCTGTTAAGTATTAGCAGTAATTGCTAGCTATGCAGCTTATTACTCTCAGAAATCCTTACATAAGAGGTCCTACACTTAAAAATAAATCTTTCTAAATGAGTTTATRAGCTTATGGACTCACGGTATCATAAACCAGCTTATATATCTGCTGCTGGTTCTGTTGTAGCTTCACACGACAAGTATTAACTTTATTCATTTAAATATCACCTGGGGACCCAGAATGAAGTCGAAAAAAGGTGGCAGTAAAAATGATAATAAAAGTAAATAAAAATCCACCTTTCACTCTGTGTTACCCTGCAGGTTCCTTAATGCTTTCTGGCATTAGTTTTAAATGCTGAAGGGTTTATAACCTTCCTTTAGCAAGACGTACAGCTTCTAATGTGTGTCTGCACTTCAAAAGGGAGATGCCCGGCTCCCACGGGATCATCCCAACTGCCCAGTCGCTATTTACAAGTGACCCACAGTCCATGGCTGGGCTTAACACATTGCTCAAGGTTCAGTTTAGCTGGACAGGTCCGTGATGCAGCGAGGAGGCAGCTCCCGGGGCAGTGCTGGGTCCCGCCGCAGTCTCCACCAGCCGGGATCTCGCTTGGAGCCAAGGGAGGCCACGGCACTGGACCCTCCAAAAGCAGCTGGTCCTGCCTGCTCCAMAGGCCAGGCTGGTTTTGTCCCCAGCCGCCTCCAACAAAGCCGACATACATACAKATGTATATATATATATWTTTWATATGTATATATACTTTTGTATGTCTTGGGACAACTCAAAAGCTCAGCTGTGCCTGTATGTATGAGGCATGGCACGGGTTGGAGAGCTCAATGCTCCTGGGGGTCTTGCTCAGGTAATTTTTTTGTGCAAATCTTCTACTTCACTTTTTCCCTTCCCCAGCGGAGATAGAGGGATGAACAGCTCTAGAAAAGGGCACCGTTTCTTCTCATGGTCTTCTCAACTTCTCATGCTTGACAAAAAATAGTCTCACTGTCATTCTGCTGTTAGGATCTTCCCTACTGTATTTTCTGAAAGAACAAAACTGAAAATGGAGACTCTTCCTGGGCATCTCCAGGAAGGTGGAAATGTATTTTAGGTGGTACTGCCTATGAGAGGCTGAGGTGAACCCAACTCTTTGAAATTTATCAAGTCAGATGGGAACTATCGAACTCACAACTACCCCAAATTGAGCAGCCTCTGTTTAATACCTCGAAGCCCATACTGCAAGTCAGAGCAACAGCAGCTGTATTTATTTTGTGGTCAATGAGACTTCACTCTCCAATAATTTCTTTAACAAAACCCTTCATATAGAAAGGGGCAGCGATGATTCAAATGGAAGATCTGTTGGAAGGCATTTCCATCCACTTTAATAAGCTTTGAGTCATTCTTTCTATACTCTGGAAAGCTAAAGTTACTGTAGGTATTAAGCACTTTCATCCTGGAATTTTATTTAAAAAAGTATGAGATTCTTTTCACTTCACTGCTTGAAAAAAGACACACACACATCCCCACTTCTCTTTTTTTTAACCGTGCCAAGCACAGAGCTTCCATGAACATGCACGAGCAGGTGCAAAGCCAAGCCAAGCAGCTCTTCACTCACCTCCTCTGGTTTATTTCTGCTTCGTTGGTGGCGTTCTTGCCTGGCCCCCAGCTGTGGCGCCGGAAAGGGGACAGCGGCCGCATGGAGGTTCTCAGGACGGAGGGATGCGTGGGCACGTCTGTTATGCTGTCCAGCTCTTCTTCCGTCTCGCCCGAGCCAGCGCCTTCCCCCTCTCTTCCCTCCGTGGCCACCATGTTAAGGCAGCTTCCGTCCAGACTGTACCTGTCCTTGGGCCTGATGAAGTTCAGCGGCGGTGGGAAGGGCAGGGAGGTGTCGCTGCCCAGGGAGGAGTTCCTTTCCAAGGACATGGTGTCGTCGGCAGAGGAGCTGGAGCTGGTGACATCGCACACCGACTGCTCCTCTTCGGGATGCTGTGCCAAAAGGAGAAAAAAATTAAAGAAAATTAAAAGKGAAGCTCGATTAATGCAGTTAACCCTTTAAATAAATGCAAATATATTTATTTGTGAGATTTCTTGGTTGAGAGCGTGAGGCAAATTTATCATTAGGGAAGGGAGATATTTTGTTCTGGTTTCAGATTAGGTTGAAGTACTCCCTGCTGTTACTGTCTCTTCCATCTCCAGGTTACCTACAGCGCAGTCTGGGACTCCCCAGATGCGCCTTAATCTTCCCTTTACAGCATTCCACGCTACACAGGGAGTCCTGCTTCCAGCAAACAGCATCTCCAGCCACTTCTACCTGCAATCCCCATCCCCAGCCACTTCCCATTAAGCAAACTAAATACCAGGGTTTGCAGCATTTTCCAAATCCAGCTATAATTAAGAAATACCGTTCCGTGGGATCAGCCACCTTGTATTACACTCTTGATTCATCCTGCAATTTGGGGYTTCGTTTGCTCCACAAGCAGCAAGCGGAACCCAAAGTGGTTCTCCCTGGCAAGGGGACACGTAGACAACACAGCCTAAAAGCAGCCTCTGCTTATCCCGTGTTCCCTGTGGCTAGTAGAAAACCTGATGCTCACGACAGCACCTTCGGTCCGAAACGGTGTTTGCCCCCTGGGACTGACGTGGGAAGTTTCAATTTATTCTCCTGCAGAGCTCTGCGCTGCATCATTTAAAATAATAATATGCAGAGCCATCTATCAGATCGTATACAATGGTGTGTTCACCAAAGCCGGGGCAGGTAATTGCCTTCAAATCGCTGGCTCGCCAGCTCTTGGTGCTGCATTTGGCCAAAAATGCCAGAATATAAAGTACAATTCTCGGAAGGGAGGCGGGCATTAGGAAAGCACCAGGGATGGGGTGAAGGGGAGCTCCGGCCACCCGCCGTCCTCCGGGCCTGATCAGTGTGCGCCAGGGACCCTTGTTGGCATGAACTGGAGCTAAAAACTTCCGATTAAATCAAAGAAACGATGTGTTCAGAGGGGCGCCTAGTAAAACATTCCACAGTTGTAAAAAAAGCCCGAGTTCAAGTCTGGCTGCCTATTTTTTCGCCTTCTTTTCACTTAATAGATGCACAACAGTGTTAAGACGGTTTAAGCAGATGCTGTCACACTATTTCCCCCTTCTCATCCATCAATAAAGAAGGAAAAAGCAGCACTCCCAGCATGATACTCAAGAAAAAACACACTTTTTAAACACTACACATTAAACGATACACTAAAAATACACCCCTTCCAACGCATTCATTTCACAAGAGGAGATGTCAAATATTAATGGCAAATTAGTAGGCGGTAATGGTAAACTTAAACTGCAAATTTAACATAATGGGTTTGACACTCATCTAAAAGGTTAAAACGAGGGAGGATGAAGTGGATGCCCTGTAAAGTTTTTGATTATATATGGCAYGGTGCAAGATAATCTGATATTTGTGTGACTCATGGTGAGAGCTCACTGAATTGCTTAAATCCAGACAAATTAAGTAGTCATTATGGGGATAATACTACTTCAGAAGAGGAAACAGTCTGCTTTGCTTTCCTGAGACTCAGGAAAATACAGTGAGACTTGAGGGCAACACAGCAGGAGGAGAGAGGAGGACACAGCACTGGTGCAGTGCAAGGACAGGGCACTTGGCAAACATTACAAGTTGGATGCAAATATAGTGAGAATATTGCAGAATATCAAGTTATATATTTGGGCATTAGCTCAGAGCAGAGAGAGGATTTTTTTCTGCCTTGGATAAAGTGTACTGTCTAAAGCTCAGAATGAAAAATCTCTTCCTTTGCAGGGATTTCGGTCACTACATTGGGTTTYGATCACTAAATCACAGTTTGAAGAGAAATTTAGAAGTGTGAAATACGTGTGTGTGCTGTTAGACTTGTACCCAGAGCATCAGCCTGATTACAGAAAGCACTATGCAACTTGCTGCCCTAATTTATTACTTCTAAAATATCTGATCTCATTTAAATGATGTCTTTCTGAAACAAAACAAAATAGCTGGGACAAAGAAGCAGGACTCTGGAAAATGCCAAGTCTGACATATCTAAGAAACATCTGTACTGAAGACACCTCTGAAAATAATTAGCTCTCTGGCCAAGTGCCAGCATGTCTGCTTTGCTGTTTAATCCTGTGTGATCTTTAATTTGTTCTTTTCCTACAGAAAAAAAAAATTACAGAAATATTATTTTTTTTTCAATTAGACCAGCTGCATTGCACCTCAATGCATTCAACTTCTAACTATGACCATAARACTTATTGCTGAGAAAAGCTTTTACAGACATGCTGTCAAAACCAGCCTGTATTTAGTAAGAAACTGTAAGGAAAAACAACCTAAGACCCACAAAGAGCGTGTGCTCCTCTTCATGAATAGGAGTAACAGAAATCACTAGGATGCTGGAATAGCGAGGAAATAAAGTAAATTCGTTAGCTAAATCACCCCCCCTTTTTTTTTTCTGGAGGTCTCCAGAAATGGGTTTAAGAAAAGGTTAAATGAAAATTCTTGGGTTCTGAATCTTTGATTAAATCAAAGATTTTCTTAATGACAACAGGCAAAACACTATATAATGTAACAGAATCACTTTATTCMATATTTACCTATAACTCCATGTTCTCCACAATAGTGGCCACCTGTTAATTATTTATCGCCATTTTTATGATTTGGTTTGGACCAGAATGTCCTTGTTGGAAGATGCTCTGTTCAAACATTTACCCCCCTTTGSCTTTTTCTTTCCCCCTTTGAGAAAAAATAATTCTAAGAAAAAATACATGAACACATAAATCTTTCCTATTTCCTTTATCAAACCAAAACAAAGGCCGAAAGCAAATGTGAGCTCCAGCCCTTTCTTTGACAATGAAAAAGAAGTTCCTCACTTCCCAAGGGGGCCGCTCCCGTGAATCACTTCCCAAGGGTCGATTCAAAAAGGTCCTCACAATGCTGGAGTTTGGTGGCAGGGTAAGAGCTGTGATGAGCAAGATGTATGGGCTACGCCTCAGGAAATTACGAGATGCTGGTGAGAAATGACCTTCTGCTGCATTAATCACTCAGGTCGCGGGTCTTGCAAAGCCTGCACAGGCGGCTGCTCCGAGAACGAGGATGACGAGCACATGGGAATAAAGCTGGGGAATGATGTCCAAACCATGACATTTGCTGAGCCCGAGAACACGCGTTTGCAAGTGATTTCTGTGTCTCGACAGCCGCCTCTGAGGTCTGAAGAACCAAGTCAGGATTTAACCCCAGAGTCTCCTGAGCTTGGTGTTCTCCACGTCCATGTCCCTCCAAGGAAACCAGGGGCCACCATGGAGAACAGATACCCAARCATCAGGACCAGCTTAAGGCAGATACAGAGCCCACAACACAGCCCAGCTCATCTGTGCTTAAAATCTATAAATTCCAAGTGATTTTTATGGAAGCAGCAGATTTCACAGGACACCCTGGCCAGGCAATGGCTTATGCCATCAGTCTCCTGTGACAGTTAATTCTAGATTAACAGCTATCCTGTCACTCCTGCCACTATGCAAGACTTTTGAATGGAGAAAGTGTGCTGCATAACAAAAATACTCTAAAAGGCAACAGCGCAACTCTTGGCAAACGCAGGAGAAACCAGAGCCTGTAAGAGCAGGTGGCAAGAGCAAGAATCGAGATACTCAAAGACTTGACATTTTCTGTTCATAAACATGTCCTCTCTCTCCTCAGTTTAATAYGAGAACTGTACTATTTAATACACTCAGAGATAACCAACTACATCCAAGAAGTGCATCTAATAAAACTTTTGAAAAGAAAGATTAAATCCAGCTCTTATTTTAATGGATGTTAAAAAATACTTTTAACACTCATTTCCACCAGCTGTGCTTTGGAGTTTAGAAAGACTGAATGAAAGAACAAGCTCGCAAGGCTTAACAGACACTTCTGGTTTTATATAAATAGCTGAGAAAAAGGTACACGGATGAATTCTGAGAAAGGAGATGAGGAATCAAGCTGAGTTAGTCAGCAGAGCAGACAGAGAAAAATGTGACTGAGGTTAGGATCAACTTTGAATAATTTCCTAAACTCGGCTCATGAACCTTTTGAACTTTCCTCATTTCTAGATGCAATTTGCATTCCACCTCATAAGAGCACTGCAAAGGCTGCCAATTTAATAAAAGATTTCCCTTTCCATAAAGAAAATAATTTCCTCGCTCTGTCCCTCCCTTTCTSCATTGGCAATGGCGATCTGAAGATCCACTTTCCCAGCAGCTCTTTCTTTTCCTCATGGCACTCCTAATACGTTGGAACATCAGTGTTTTCTAACTTTTGAAGGTCTTTTTTTAAATCTTTGRAGAAACAAACTTCTTTATCCATAAGAAATGGAAAAAGTCAAAATTATGTGTAATATATAATCTGCTGTGTCTTCACAGCACTCTTACCCATCTCCTTACCATCATTAAACCAGACTCAAATAGCAAAGTCTTTTGCCTTAACTCAAGCCAGTCTACACAAGGAAACGGAAGAGAGTGCTCCACCAAAAGGCCTTGTATTCCCAAAATCCAGTGTCCCTCAGCTCTTCGAAAGGAAGATGGGAAAGGGTGAGGCTGGTGAGCTTTGTGCCCTACCACATTTGCTCAGGATGACTGTACTGTTCATTTATAGCACATGAGATCACTTAGTCCGGGCTGTGGTGTTTCCCGTCCCGCTGGAAAATATTCACCATAGTCTCATTGGACTTAACCAAGGAGAACTTTGGTGTATTACATATATTTCTCTGAAAGCAAGCGTGAAAACTATACCCAAATTTCAGTTTTTCAGAGCAGGTAAGTTTCAGGTAGCTAAAACTATGCAGAACCTAAGCAGAAGTTTCCATGGAGCTTGGACCAAAGTCCAGAGGTTGACTACAGTCAAGTAGGCTCATGCCCTGTTTCAGTCTGCAGCACTGTACTCTTTCCAGAAGATTTTTTCTAATCATCTCCTTATGGCAAGAACTATCAATTATAAGCAAGATTGTTAAAGACGAAAACCTGGTTCAGGCATCACAGATGCAAAAAGCAAGGCATTGTCATTGAAGAGGATGATTCTGCACCACCGTTTGCACCAACCCCTCCCTCCCCTTCTCATCTGTAAGCAACACAAAGGGTACAGAGATGACTAAGGTTAGCAGTGACTTCTGTTGTTGATGCTGAGCTAACTCAAAAACACGTTCTTGCTACTTGCACGTAAAGCAGCATTGGGGATATGTTGTCTGGGCAACACAACCATTCACTAGAATCGGCCTTAAGTATTTAGAGTGAGTGTTTCCTTCCTATTAAGGGAGTAGCATTGAACTGACAAGAAAAAATAGGTTCTTTTGGAACTTGCAGTATGTGATTTTGAAGGTGCCAGTGGAGAGGTCATTGCTTTCAGGAGAAAAGATCTGCACTAACTAAAGATGGTTCTCACACCACCTGTGCTATCCCTAATGACCTCACAAGAAAACCTAACTTTTCAACTCTTTCTCTAATGTCACATTTACTTTTGGACAGTTAAAATGACTTTCATCTTTTTAACATCAGGGACTTGCACACTTTTTGGTATTCAGCTGCATGTAATTGCAGATTAGCAGATCCTTCAGACGGATTCTGTTCCACAATAATCGCTACCAGGTTTCTAGAGAAGGAAGTCACCGCCAAAACCAAAGTTAACCAAGCTTGCAAAATGGATTTATAGAATCTGGCCTCAACTTTTTTAACCACATCCTACCCAGGCTTTCCTACCTTTCCAAAGACGATGTCTTCCATCCCATCACCAGGCAAGGGAAAGAGCTCAGACTCGCTCCCGGACTCTCTTTTAAGGACTCCTTGTGCTGAGGCACAGACGCTGCTCAGCCCATCCTCCAGGAAGCTTTCACATTCTAAGGGAGCAAAGCAGAAAGAGATATAACATGATACTTTCCTTTACACACATACACAAAYCCAGTCTTACAGAATCAGTAAATTCAACGATTTAAAGATAAAGGTAAAAACAGCTTTATAAATTTTGTCCATTTCCCCAAAATGTGGCTGCACATTTTCAAGAGTTTATTTTAAAATTAAAACGCCTTYTTAAAGCCTTCTTAGGCATCACTGAAGCAACCTGTATAAACAGAAACTCTCCGTTAAAATGCCACGCACACTTGTAGCTTGATGCACCAATAAATATACTGCATATCAAGTATAACCTCATTGAGAATAAGATGTTTCCCATTGACTGCAGCAGCCACAAAATTAGATTCATACTCAGTAAATGTAAAATTAAAAACAACCAGTTCCCTCTAACTTTTTAAAGCCAAGGTGGCTTTAGTGCACATCAGGACCATCTGTTGATTCTTTCCCCCATACTTCTGGTTGAAAAAGCAATAGMATAACTTTCATGGCCAGATTTACTTTATTAAGATTCACAATTAATTTATTTTTAAAAAAAGTTCCCCAGCTCCAATTACTGCTGCCATTTAAACATAAGCATATTGCTTCTCTCTTTTCTTATAAAGTGCTCCTAACTGTTTGGATCCAGGTAATTAGCAGCGTGGAAAGAGACTAAAGCTCTTCAGAAAATCCTTTCTCTCTAAAAACCTGAACAGAAATGTATTTGCATCAATAACGTCTGCTACAGTCTCATTTTTTTTTCAGCCTGCAGGCAAAGACATTAATGACAATTTTGGCAATAACTGAACATTCTTTTCTCTCTGCTAAACCCCCTGCCTTTTTTTTTTTCCCTCCTTTTCCTCTTTTTAAGAAAGGTGCTATTTTTCAGTGTGCTCTAACCTAAACAGATACCACCACAACATGCTCAGGTCCCTGGAGAAGAGCCAAGACAATAAAACGTTGCTTTGTTTTTAAACTGCATCTGACAAACTCGATGCTTGGCTGTGTCAACAGCCAACGCAACGAGCACAGATCTGGGTACGGCAGCTCGAAGCCACCTTCTTCCTTTCGCTATCCCTGCCTGGCCCGAGCTCGGAATTGTGCCCAACAGCAGCTGGAAAATCCCAGGGCTGCCCAACGCCTCTGCTGTCCAGCCAGCTACACRGTGGCTCACGTTGGTACAACCGCAATCCCAAATCCATCTGCCTGGGAGAGACGGAATGCCGGCCGGCTGGGAGCTCTCGTGGAGAGTGAGAGCAGTGGGAAGAAAATACGGAGGAAGAGGAGAGCAGTGCCGATTGCCGGGCGCTGCCGGGAGCGGGGCTCTCCCAGCGCCTCCGTCACTGGGCTCTGGTTGGAAACACCATCATTCCAGAGAGGAGTTTCCATGCCACGGAGCCTCGGAAAAGCAGTTATTGGACGAGGTGCTCCTGTTCCCTGTGCCTTTCCCCCYGTTTGGTAAACCTGGAAAATCTGAACTTCTTTTCCATAATCCAGAGGGATACAGGAGGGGGAAGAGAAGAAGGTGAAAAGAAAAAGAGGAAAAAGTGCCGAAGAGACGGCACAGCGGGACGGGAGCGCGGCCAGGACGCCGGCGGTCCAGCTGGCAGCGGCCGGCGCGTGTCCGCAGCCCAGACTGCAAAACAAAGGGGCTGGAGCCACGTTCCAGTGGAAAACTAGCGGGGACGCTCCAGATGCACCGCCGAACGGATACCTCACCCAGGCAATAAATCACCACGGGGGAAGGCCCTGCAGGAGCAGCAAGGGGATAGCGCAGGCTGGAAGAGGAAAAGAGGGCATGAAACAAAAGGGTAGGAAGTTGGGGAAGGAAGATGAGGAGGAGGTTGAAGAGGGGAAGCCCCGCACACGCCTCCTCTCATCTGCCCTGGGAGCTCCAGGGTATCCAGGCTCCAGGGCTGAGTGGATACTTCACTTATTTTGAGTTATTCTGGATTTTTTTGTGTTTTCCATCATTTGGGTGGGTTTCTGCTGGTTGCCTTAAGCTGCACAACCTGGAGCTCCTTCCCTCGCACCTGCAATCCAGCAAGGTTGGGTCATTCCATGCTGATATCTACACATGATAGATGTGCATCTTAACCCTTAGCCCCTTGAAGCATGAGGGACAATCTGAAGGTCAGATCTATGTTTTAAGAGCATCCCTGCTCATATAACACATATAATTCTATAATATTGCTTTATACACTTAGCATAAAATTCATATTCGTCTATCTGAATATACGATAACATATTCATATGCATACATGGCAATTTGCAGTTGCATGGAATATATTAACTCTCGCCTGAAGAGTAGATGATTGTACTCAAAGGTAAGTAATACCTCRGGAAGCAAGTAGAAAAGAAGCAACGTGCAATACTGCAACCTGCCTTCTAAAACACTCCTGAAAATGCTATTCATTGTGCAYGACTGTCCCAAGCATACCTTTTATCTTAAAAGCAAAAAAAAAGTGTTTATTTCACTTTGATGGAAGCTGGAGCTTTTCTCTAGTACGTATCTCTCAGGTCACGCACCTACAATATCATTCCTTAGGCTCTACTCTGACAGATCAGGATTGAATTTCACATCCACACATCCTACAGTGATTTAATCTGTTTTTCTTTCAAATGTCTTACATAAATTGAAGGAGATTCAGGTGAGACCCCCACTCTAATTGCTGTAAGGAAAGCAAAGAGGACTCGATGAAGAGTCCAAAGTCACTGCTAATGGCCCTGATAACTTACTCCACTTTGTTTGTTTTAAATGTCCATAATTCAATGAAAGGAAATGCTTTTTTTTCCCCGTTATCTCTGACATCAAGTCTCTTTGAGGCTTGCCAGGCAAGGTTTTACTGTCCCTGTGGAATAGACAGGGGACAGTAGCCAGCATCCATGGTAGTGAGCTCACCCGCACTGATGGGCAGGGTGTGGGAAAGATGGCTCTGAGCAGCCTTCCTGCTTCCTGAAGCCTGGAAATCATGGGAACTTTTAAAGGGGGGAAAAAAAAAAAAAAACCCAACACTTGTTTGGATCTAAATATGGCTGTGGGAGTCTAAGTTTCTGATTTTTTTTTTTTTTTTTTTGAATCATCAATTTTGGCTAGAAATCATGTCTTTGTTCCCAGTCAGATCTTTCAGTTTTATTAAAAATAAAATACTGTCCAAAATACCTTAAATGCATAACCACTCAAGAAGGTAACATGCCATACAAGTCACTCTAAGTCCAAACACTACTACCATGAGCTAACAGTGACTCTATAGATTCATAACACATTTTATTTTGTTTATGTGTTTTTCCCCTGAGGTTTGAGAGAGAAGAGAAGAGCAGAGAAGAGCAGAGCAGAGCAGAGMAGAGAAGAGAAGGAAAAACATAAGAAAAAGTGAGGAGAGTACTTTTTGCAAGTAAAGCAAATCCCCAGGTTGCTCTTGTGCTCTGCATGTAGAAGGGTGGGTGAAGCAGCCCTGCAAGACACAGCTCACCTGGAGACTCGCGGGCCCTCCTGGGCTCCAGCAGGGAGGAATCCGGGCATGGCTCTAACGAACACCAGCTCTCCCGGTTAATCTGAAAGAACAGAAAACACGAAATCAGGGAAAGCCTCTCCCAAGGTCTGRTTAGCCTCTTCTAAAACATAATTCTGGATCAGTCAGCAGCTATGTAGTTACAGGCTTAATTTTCTCACAGTAAGAAGAATCTTAAAAGTAAATTATAACGTTTTTAACACCACTAAAGAAATCAGTAACATAATCCAAAAGCTTCATTTCTCAGTAGAATGTATCATATCAAGGTGGCTTATGCCCAAGGCAGGTGCTTAGAGGGAGGATGAGCCAACGTTTAAGCCACTTTTGCAGGATGTAGGAGACCTGGGTTCAATTCTCAGTCCCACTTGCAGTGTGACTGCAGGGAGAATTTGCCTTGGTGCATTATCCACAGACCAGCAATTCCTTGCCATCCACATTGCTGTAGTGATAACTACTTTAAAGACAGAGAGGAGCTCTGATAATGGGGGCAACCAAAATACCCAGGACTTTGCAAGAACCAAAAGCACTTTGTTCATTTGTCTTTACATGTTTGYATGAACTCCGGTGATGATTATGTTAGAAAATGTTAGAAAAACCCATTTTGACGCTACAACACATCACATGGTTTATTTCAACATCAGCTCTTATCATCTCACCCTATCCCTCAGCCTCTCCGTGACTTCCAGGCTTTCAGCACCGATGACTGATCCCCTCTCAGCYCTCCCTCCCCGCGTGTTGACTCGGCCTGGGTTCATTTTTCTTCACTTGGGATGCTTTATGCAGCATCTTCCCTYGGAAGCTTTTCTGACTGCCCACAGTCCTTGGTCCAATGCAGCCTGTGTCTCCCTCTTTTTATTTTTCCCCTGTACTTTTTGCCACTTAACTAGTTTGCAAATCTCCTAGYGAGACAGCTCCATTTCCTCTGCTCCCTGTCTGATTATCGTCCCCCTCCATGTTCTCCTTTGCTCTCCCACGACACCAAGTGCTTCTCCTCTTCCTTTTTCCTTGAAGGAATCCTTGGGTCCCACGCTTGACCCGAGTGCCTGCTCTGATTAATGACTCATGACCCACGTCCTCCTCCCCTGCGCCGCTGAGACCCTAGACCTCATTATTTCCCATTGCTCTCTGGAGTTCCCTACGCCTGGCTCGTCCCCCTCGCCTGTCAAGTGCCTTGGTGACCTCCTCCTCTTCCTCCCCATCTCTCAGAATCAACACTGTTCTCCAAGATCCGTCACCTCCTTTCTACAACACGATTTTTCTTTGTTAGGTTTTGTCCTCCTCCATACTCCCGGGATGATAAAGCGGGGCTGGAAGGGCCCTTGGCAGGTTGACTGCAATGAGTCTGCGATGGAGAAATGCAAGGCAGAGACTCCCGGGAGGGTGAAATCCTCCTGCTCTAGTGGCGGGAAGCCTTCAGTGACACCCATGACACCCTCCTCACCTCCAGGCTCGTAAGGGACAACTTTCCTTGGGCACGTGGGCACCGAGGGGCACTTGCCATGAGCTGCCCCTTGCCGCTGCTCTTCAGGTCCTTGCACAGACAGGCAATCAACGCCCCATTAGACTGATAACAACCACGGATCCAAGATCTGTGTGTTCCCTGCTCCGCTTCCCACACGCCCATCCTCATCCCACCCTACCAYCCACCAGCCCACTAATACACAGGCCTTACACAAGGGTGAGGAAGGACAGAGGCGGCACAGAAACAATCTGGAGACTGAGGAAGGTCTTCACAAGCCATTACCAAGTGAAATAAAGGTGCTCAGTGTGAACTGCTGCAGAGACATGGGAGCCTGCGCTCCACATTTGCTCACTGGAGGAGCTGCCCTGTGAGCAGTGCCCAGGAGGGATCTAGTCTCTAGCAATTAAACTTCACTACAAGATTTACACAAGCTTTTCGGTCAGAAAAGAGCACTAGAGGTGGGATCAATAAATATCACATTGATATCCTTCTTCCAGGTCAAAGTGGAACCTGTATTGAAGCAGATATCTAACATTTTCTTGAAGGCAAATTTAAAGGTTCGTCGTGAACATGTAGTGGTACAAATGTGAAATTGCTTGAGTTCACACAAATGAAGGAACCACCGTTTTGGATATAAAACCAACTTCTGACTCCTTACTGGTTTGCACCTTCCTTTCTCCTAAGCTGAGTCTGACTTTTGTTACCTTAACCTATACGTTTCCACCCAATTTATGGAAATTTCTCCCAGTTTATGCTGATAACCAGTACCAGAGAATAATCAAGTGTCCTTTTCAGCAAAGCAGCAATTGGTAGAAAAAGCAAAAATAAGAAGACTTAAGAGAGTGTTTAGAGCCTATCAGGTGATTGAATAAATTAAACTAGGCTGAATTTACACTATATTTTTTTTGCCTTTAATAGAACGAGTTGAGTCATTTACTGAAAATGCATTATAGACATTGGCATTTTTTCAAAAAAGATTTGAATATTTTTCCCATTACCCAGCCAGTTCTATCCTCTGCGCTGTGGCTTTGCCAAGGCCTGAAAATGTCTGCTTTTCTCTACAACAAAAAGCAACCAGAGAGTAACACTGTGGTTTAATGTCCCAGTGCTGCACATGTACCTGCCCGTGCACAAAACAAAGCAATAAGAAGAAAAGTACCTTAAATAGCCCTTATTTGAGAATAATAGTTATTATTACCAAAAGACAAACAAAGGAAACCACTACTATACACAAGCGTTCCCCATGCCAAAGAGACCAGACAGGATTTGCGGGAGGTTTACAGCATGCTCTCAGGAAACTGGGTGGTCCACATGGACTTAAAACACAGTGAGGACACAAGCCCTGGCTCTCCTCTGGCCTCGTCCTCCTGCCTGTAGTTTGGGAAGAAGCTGCAGCCCGCAAGGGCTGTGCAGGAGATACAAGCACCTGAACTCCTCAGGGTGGTCAGTGTACAAGGGGAGCAACCAGAAATGGATTTCTGCAGAAATGGGATTTTACAGACCCACGGGCATCATCCGTAACAAAATTATCCCCCGTTTTGCCCCTGTGCTGCTAAGTCTGTAGCAGGACGCTGGGCCGAGGGCCACGGAAGACATGAGAAAAGCCCAAATTGCCCCTGTGCCCGCATGGATCACAACTGTTTGCTGTTGGCACAGGGAGGACGCGGCGGCGCTCGGATCCTTGCATCCTTGGAGGAGAAGGAACCAGATAATTTTAACTTTCGTTTCCCAGCAAAACTCTAGAGATTCATTTGCCTTCCATTTTGTTTTAACTTTGCCCTAATTCCACAAGTTTCCGTTTCTCTCTCTCTTTTTTTTTTTCCAGCTTTAAACTAAATTCTACCTTGCAGCTAAAGAAAGATTCTAGTGCAGGAAGGAAAATATTTAGTATAGCAATTTTAGCTTGCTTGCAGTATCATTAAGCACTTGTATACCGCACTCCGCACTAATTAACACTAGGGAAGATTAGAAATACCCATCAAAGAACAAAAATAGCACAAAAAAGTGCTTTACTTTAACTGCAGTCATAACTTTATCTAACATACAGGAATAATACAGCAAAGTGTTTSTCAATTTTAATGCAAGTCCTATCTCCTCTTTCTGTTCTAGAGGATTTCACACAGAATATTATTTTCATTTAAATAATTTCTTCACGTAAATGGAATTATGCAGGACAAAGTAACAACCCTTGCAACTTTGCAACTATTTCCATAGAGACTTATCTTCCACTCTAGGGATGCGCTACCTCCAGCCTTTTACCTTACAGGTAATGACCCTGGTGACATCCTGTTGGGACCCCAATTACTCAAGCAGGTCCGAACTGGCCTTACCCACAGATCTATTTTATTTATGTTAAATGTTATGTTTCCAGGGCCTAAATCTACATGCAGACGAACTCAAAAGCTCCAAGCAGACCATTGTGTCGATGCTGTTTTCAGTATTAAAGCTGAGTGTCGTTTCAGGGCCACAACACTCAGGGAGCCACTGCAGAGTCCCCGGTCGACGACAGCACGTCAGGGTGTGGGGCAGAGGGAATGAACTTGCTTGTGCACCAAATAATCACAAACATAAAGTGCACGGAAAACATTAAAAACGCATTCTAAGMGTGATAACATACAATGGGAGAAGCCTAAGTTTCCCTGTGATTTATGCCTAGCATCTGTGTGAAGCAAGAAGACAAGTGATCCGAGGACATTTCTGGACCTTCCCAACGCAGCAGTAGCTACAGCTCAGCTTTTTGTTTAGGAGGCTGCAAATTCCTGCTTGAATCATGGGCGCAGGATCCACTCCAGAGGAACAACTCCTGTGGTAGAGGAATCAGAGCAGCCTCTAACGGGAAGCTGAATAACGTAGCCACACGAAGCACTGATAATCCCAGCCCACGGATTTCCAATTTGCTTTTTTAATTATTTTCTATCCCTGGGATGGTTTCAGCTTCAGCAGTGCTCTGATTTTTATGGCAGAACCAAGGCAGGAGGAATGAAGCCAAACTGTCGGGTCATTTCTGCTTCACGCCGGGTTCCCTGTACCCTGGCAAATCACCGTGGTCAGCACCCAAATGCAGCACACACACAGTGCAGCAGTAGCAAASAGAGCTACAGAAAAGATGAAGTTCAACCTCCATCCCAAAGGCTAACACACCAATTTACTTGCTGTTCCTTGAGCAATGCTTTCCTGCATGGGAAGRAGGAAGAAACAACTGTGAACTCCCCAGGCTGCTGATGCTTTTTTGGTAACTTTACAAGCGATTGCTACAGGCACACTCTAAACATGGAAAATTTTTGTCCTGATCCTTCAGATGTGCCCTGCAAAACAGTCARTAGGAACCAAAACCCTTTTGCAAGTTTTCTAAGCACGGATGCAACGAATGCAAATAAAATTCCATCACAAACATACAGTAACTGAACGGCACAAGATCTCCTTTGTTCCCATCTTGTTCCAATTCCCTTCTCCACCACCTGTTTTTCTTTCCTGTCAAGCTTATGGAGTCCGCCACCTTAAAATAAGGCAAAGAACATATTCATCCACCACGCAAATAAAAGGGATCTTGTAAGAATCCATCAACAGGACAACCCAAAGGCCGTTGGGTGCTCAGCAGGCATCTCGTTAMACTTCAATTCAGATCTACCAGTCCTAATGGGTCCTATTTGACTTTGCTATTTCGTAAGGGCATTTATTTGCTTCTCAGTCCTTGCCCCTTCCGAAATTCTGCCACCAAAACAGTGATCTAGATGAAGTGCTGCTTTATGTATGTCCTTTAATTCTTAAGAGGAGGAGTCATCCCCGCAGCTCCCTGCTTAAGGGTCTGATTCAGCTCCCATGAACGTCAAAAGATGCGAGGGCCGCGGTCCGGCGCTGGCTCGCGTCCCTCCATCATCAAAATTGAATTTAAACAACTGGGTATGCTACAGAAAGCAGGATAAAACATGAAGACCAACTGCAACTGAAGATAAAAATCAAGATTATAACAATAGCTATCATTAGCAGCCCTCTATTTAAAACATTTGCACTATTTATGGCCAGTTTTCTGCGAAGCAATGCGTGCCCGCATGTACGGACATTGARTCATATGTAGAACAGACAGCACAAGCCACAGTTTTGAAACTCAATTAGGAAACTACTAGTGGGAACTAACAAGGGCCATATTTTGTTCTAAAATCTAAGCTTTGCTGAACAAAAACTAATTTGAGGAAGCGATGACTTCAGAAATACTGAAGGCARATAATTATAGTGAATTACATTTCAACCAGGCATCCAGATGATCTTTACAAAGAAGAAGATTGTGTTTTTTACATAAGCAACCAAAGTTGTCAAGGGGACCGGCTCTTTTCCCAAGTATAACCAAGTGGTCATTTTGCAGCACACAAGCAATAAACAGCATGTATATGATATATCTACATCTTTTAAGCACTCCCAGGGGTGTCTAGGGATTGAGTCTCGTGGGTTCCCAGTGTGCTACAGACAGCATCGTTAATGAGACTTGGAAAATGTCAACAAAATCCAGCTGATACAGAAACCAAGCTGAGGTTTTGGGCCCCGGAAAACAAAGGACACCCTGACTAAAAGGAAAATACTTTCATTCCTATATAACGCAGGTTAACAAGGACTACGTCAATTTTAGTGTAAAGGGACCAAGCCTCATTCAAAAATGAAATATGAGTACTCCAGAAAACCTTATTCTTTTTTCATCTCTGCTTCAAAACAAAGATCATGAAGCAAAAACCATAAAAAATGAGGCCACGTTATCCCAGAGCAACCCACTGAGAGAGGAGGGCAGCAAGGGAGGGAARGAAATTCTCTCCCCGAGCGGGGCTGTCTCAGGCAGCAGCTCCGCAGCCGCTCTGGCCGCTTTCCCATTCCATGCACTTCGCCAGGAAACTGCTGGAGCTGCAGAGCCGTTACGGTGACAGAACATTCCCAGACTGCCACCTTGCCATTTGGTGGAGCACTTGCTAATTTTAGACCAGAGAGGAGGGAGCACTCGGACATTTAGCCAGGAGCCGTTTCTGGCTCGCGCTCAACTCAACCTTAAGACAAAACTCAGATCCACCCTGTAAGATAAACAGCAACATCTTCAAGCACCCCTAAACACRGAGGCAAACAGAACTGTCGGGAGGATCCATCCTGCTTTTGGGGGCAGAATCTGTCTTTCAGGAAGCACACACACAGTCCAATGCAGACAGTGACCCACAGAAATACAAATCCTTAGCCAAATGGCTACTTGCACACACACAAAAAAAGCACCTGCAGAAGTCTGCAAAAATGGATGGGACTGTTTAGCGGAAAAGGATGAGGGGGACAGGCAAGACAATCAGGGAGACCTTTCAGAAGGAATATCCCATTATATGCTACAATAGGGAATTTGGTGGCAGGGACAATATCAAACCGTTAAATGCCAAAAGTTAACACCCCAAAACCTCTACATGCTGAGCAGGAAGAACTCCACCTGCTCCCCATCTCCATAGAGCCCAGCTGCAGGTATGGACTAGAGGRACAAGTTCAAGATGAGGAAGGAGCAGGTAAAGAAGCCCAAGCAGCAACACCATACCTTTAACAACACAACACCTATAGTCCTGTCCACCTTGGAAGTGCCACACATACCTTTAACAACACATCTACAGTCCCGTCCACCTTGGAAGCATCACACATACCTTTAACAACACAACATCTACAGTCCTGTCCACCTTGGAAATGTCACACAGGCTGTATCGCCTCCTGTGGCGCTCGTACATCTTGTCCAGGGAATCGCGAGCAGAGCAAGACGTGAGGAGCAGAGCCCACCATGAACTCCAGGGTCAGCTCCTCAAGGCAGACGCTCCAGACCGCTCGGAGAAGTCCCTGTGTCTCAGCGCTCTCTGAATCACGTTAGCCTGTCCAATTCTCTCAACAGGAAAAAGAAAATCCCAGAGCTGCGACGGGTTGATAAAGTCTTCTTGGAACAGASACTCGCTTATGTGGGAGACGCAGGAATTTAGAGCAAACAAAAGATATTTTGAGAGAGCTTATATATGAGATTTTTTTTTTGCAACTGCTAAGAATGGTTATCAGCCTTCCTGCTGGATTAATAAGAATAAAACTAAAAAAACAAAGTTTTCCAGACAATCTTGATATCCAAAAAGCATCAGAATGAAATTCTTGAAAGGAGAGCAAAAGCCAGATGTGCACAGCTGGAACCCTGACACTCCAAAAGGGGAAAACAAAAGGTAGGCTCAGCAACGGTGTGTCTAATGCAGAGGAAAAAATAAACAAAACAAGCGCCGATCAGCGTATCCAAAGTAAATACTGCTGTCACCAACGGGTCTTTCTCTTCCAGTGTGCCTGGATGTGACAGAAACAATAACAAAGCACAAAAAAAAGGTACTTGGCTCCTGTCAGAGTCAGTCCGCTCTTCGCCAGACAGGAGGGCTTCGTTTTGCATTAAGCTGCAATTTCTAATGACAGCACAGGGCAAACGGAAAGAAAATAATGAAATAAAGCCACTCCCTCCTGATTTGGGCTGGGACGTCACCACTTGCCTTTTTAGTACTGCAGCAGCGTCCTCCGAGCTTTGCAGTTGTGGGAACATGATTCATCTTTTCAGAGAGAGGGAAAAAGAGGAGGGGGAAGGCGAGGGGGGAGCAGAAATCTTCCTTCTCCAGCTCCCGGCACCTCAGGCTGCAGCCGCTCCGGGTGTCTGCACAGTCCAAAGAGGTGGGACGGGAAGGCAGGGATTTCCAGAGAGGGAAAAAAAGACTGTTCTCCCCTGTCCCCCAGGCCAGGTGAATGACAGACACAGAACTGACGTCTCGCAGCTTTCCCCGGACAGGAATGGAAACTCATGATTTAATCAGTGTGGAGAGGATGGAAGAAAAAAAAAATCAACAGTTTTCAGTTTTCTCTTACGTTTAAAACACAGAAGGATGAGCAAAAAAGGCCCAGTAAGTTGCTCTGGGGAAAAATAAAAACGCCGGCGCTCTCATTTACTTTAAGCTGAAGGCTTTTTGTTTGGTTTTGCCTCTGAAAAGCAAAGTTTGGGAGCCGTTTCGCTGCTCTCGGGTCTCAATAGCTCATTCACATGRCCGGCCCTGCCACATGGCTTCCTGTTTGCAGCTGCCCCCTCGCAGCCCCCTGCGCTTTCCACCCCACCCCGACCTCTCCAGGGAGAAAATCTTTCCATACTTCCCTGGCCTGAGACGTTCTCTCATTCACGGATTCAAAAGGGAATGGGGGCGGTAAAGAAAAAAAGAAGAAAGAAAGAGAGGAAAAGGGGAAAGGGAGAGGTTTTTTTTTTTTTTTTTTTTTTTTTTTTTTGTGGCTGGATTTAAATGCGAGATTCGTGCCCAACTTGCTGCTTTGCTGGACAGAAGGATGGAAAGGGAGGAAATGGTTGAACCTGCCTTGCAAAGCAGGGGCTACGGCCGGCGGAAATGGCAGCAACAAATCAACATTCATTCAAGTGCTGGGCGAAAAAGCCACTTGCAAGGAGYGCCCGGCAAGCTGGCACATCTCCTGCTGTCGGGATTCGCTCCATTAATGGAGTTTAGTTAAGGATTTCTGAGTCTTTTCACAGAGCCCCTTAGGGGACGGCTCAATGGCCTAAGTCCCCTCAGTTGTATAAGGCAAAGCTTTGTAAGCGCCAGTTCTGGCAGATGACTCAATCCTGCATCCTTCCGAAACAGATAAAAGCGGCTCTTCCGCATTTGAATGCGAGCGGATTCTTCCCAAGAAAGCCCCAAAATCTGAAATCCTGCCTGCTGCGAGCGGACAGTTCAGCTCCTCTCCATGCAGCACTACCTGCTTCTCTGGTTAGCAGCGTATGAACTGACCCCTATATGTGTGCACTGAGTGAGAAAAAAAATGAAGAAAGGGGTTTTGTACTAATTCAAACTACTATTTAGGGTTATACTGCACAGAATACCCCCAATCTATATAAAAAGTCATCAAGTCACCCTGCGAGTGAGGTCATCAAGTCACCCTGCAAAAAAGGTCACCTCTTCCTAAGGCTTCTCCTTAGGGCTTGGGAACCGGCCACTCTTGGAGCTCTGCCTTGGGGCACTGCTACTGAGCAGGTCAACACAAGCTCAAGGAGCCACGAGCTGCAAGTGTTTCCACTTGTCCAGGATGACGACACAAGGATGCTCTTCCCTGCCAGGTTTCTCACCCTGCTCCACTCGGTTCCAGTCTCTCCCTGCCAATCCTGCCTCCATCTCCACCATCCAAGCAGCTGCAACAAGAAGGTTCTGCTTTAGGAGCCTCTCTTGCAGCAATGACGTCCTGGCTCCAGACCCCAACCAGCGACTCTGCTTCTCCTCCATAACCACCAGGACTTCTGCTTTCAGTATTAGAGCACCCATGAAATGCGGTAGTGCTTGGGGGACTTGCTGGAGCCACCCGTTTTCCCCCCCAGTAATGAATCCCGGCACTCATGTGCCCGTGGAGACGAGAACCCAGCAGTGGCTGTGACCACATTCCAGCCTGCAGATGCTACCATATAAGGCTGGGATTTCCTCAAACCTAAATTTACAGAACAGGAACCTATAAACAATGTTTGTGAGTTTAGTTCAGGTAAAGGAGCTTGCAGCAGTCGCRGTGCCCCAGCCTTACACGATGTAACGCTCAACACCTTGTTTTACCCAATACAGATTTTTTTTTTGTTTTCCCTGCCCAGGAAGGAGGCAGGCTTCGTGGCCCCGTGCTCCCCAAAAACGGCCGCTGTGGCAGCGTGAGGATGGAGCAGCCACCACCAGCCCAGGCCCGTGAGCTCCTCCACACCTTCAGCCACCGCATGGAGCGATCAACACAAGCAACCAAATAAAGCACCATTAAAAAGAAAAGCCCTCCTAGCTCCTCTCTTTTTCTTCTCAATTAAAGCTTCTGCATCCCCTGTTTTGCTCTGGGAGTTCTGTTGTGGTTGCGTCCCTGACTCACAGCCAAGATCAGGAGGCCGGTGACGTCTGCAGACACCCTAAGTCCATCTCCTTTTCATTTCCAGACTTTACTGCTGGGGGAAGGAAGAGAGGAAAAAAAGAACAGCAAACCACCCCAATATAAACAAATAGGAGACACTGTGCCAGACACACTCCCATTTGGGAGACCACCGCCCTCCGCCCACATTAGGATGGGCTTTGACTGCCTCCTTCCAGCCTTGCAGTCTTGTCCTCTGGATCTTCTCCCCTGCACATCCGCACAGTGCATGCGGAGGGGACGCGGGACACGCACGGGGCAGAGCGAAGCTCTCCAGACCCTCCCAGGCCTCTATTTAAGGTGCTGCCCCCGGCACTATATGTATGTTTACATAACATATAACACTGATGTGGTCACAGACACAACGCAGCAGACAATTGGAGGATAAACAATAAAAAGAAAAACAAAATAGAGCAAATAATTCTCTCTCTCTCTCTCCCCTTCCTGTTCTCCTTCTATGAGAGCTGCTCAAAATGGAGCAGGGCCCCGAGCGGCAGCCCCGGCCGTTGGCTGCTGATGCGACAGTTCTGGGCTCCTTATTGAAAACATCTGGAAATGCTGCAGGGCTTTGAGCAGCCCCGGTTTGAAACCAACCAATCGTTTTGTATCCAAACCAAAGCCCAGTGCTGCAGATTTCAAGGGAAGGGGAAAAAAGAAAAGAAAAAGAAGTGCTCAGCTGCACCATATGATCTTTAACTCATCCAGATAAAACTCCTCCTCCTCCAGCCGCTAACTGAGCTCTTAATGACAAGGAAATCATGGTTATGCCGAAACAGACAGTACTATTGTTATCTGTTTCAAATTACATTTGCCATCGAGTTATGAAACACTGAAAATGATGCAATCTGCAGAAATACTGAGGCTTTTTGACATTCTGAACCGTGGCTCTGATAGGAATTAATGGAGACATACATGGAAGGGAAAAAAAGAGCCGTCTCTTCAACAAGTTAAACCCCACTTTTTGTCACTAGAAGCAGAAATTAATAGTCAGACTAAAAAAAAAGGGAATAAGGACAATTAAATTGTTCCTTTCTTTTTTAAAGACAGCTTTTTGCAACGTGTTTTAAAATTTTTTCTGCTTCTGGCACTTGCAAGTGTAGACAAAACAAAACCTTTTTTTTTCTAAAACTAAATAAGGGAAAAGAAATGTGCGCTAAAATACTGCAGAGCCCGCAGGGGAAGCGCCCAGCCGGGAAGGGCCCGCTCGCTCCTCGTGGTTTGAGGGGCAGGTCGGCACTGGGGAAAACAGCAACGGAGACGCAGACGGCAAAGGCGGATCTGGGGCGACCAGACGCCTGCACATCACCGAGCGCTGACGCTGCAGACGCTTGTGAAGAGTCTCCCATGTTTGATAATGTGTTTTGCATTCCCACAGCAGGATTTGAGGAGCAAGCAGCCTTTTGAGATGGATGGTGTCCAAGGAGGCCTGCCCTGTCTGCGGGATGACGTTTTGGTGAGGTGTCACCTCCTGCAACAGCCCAGCTGGTCTGTGCACCACTTGGTGGCATCCTCTTCTTCACTGAGGTGGCCCCAAAAGCCAAACCAAAGGCCCGTGAGCAAACTATGCAGCACTCGCACAAATGGAAAATGATTTTGGCCACTTATGATTTTGGATGCCCCAAGAGGCAGAGCATGGGAACAAGCGGAGCCAGGGAGAAGGACGTGGATGTGTAGCCCTCAACGTGCCATCACGGGGAACTGCTCCCCTGGCAAACACCCACTGTCGTAGCGGGAAGCTCAGCAGAGCAAGCAACAAAATTCATCATCCTGCTCCTTCTCGCTGAAAAGAGAGACCTTCTCGAGACTGCAAGGGCCCA